AGAAATCAAGTAATTTAAGTAATTTGCCTATCGATCCCTTCCTTAATTTAGTCCTCATATGAAAATCCTTAAAACTACACGTGGCATTGCAAACTAATTATGTTTTCTAAAGAAGTCATAAATCTTGAAGGCATACAATATCGTGTCTGGTATTTCAGATTCTGGTTTTTGCGAATCAAATGAAAATGAGAGACAATTTAGTCATGAGTGGAGAGGTGTCATAGCAAAATGTAGCTAAGTCTGCTAAGTAGTAGCAAATATTCGAATATCTACGAACTAACCACAAAAACATATTTATACAATCAACGGCTCATCATCAGTTACCTTGTTTCACTCCACACTTATCATTTACAGCAGAAGTAAATGTATTTATTTACAAGTAAACATACAGACCTACATACACATAGCAAATACATGCACTTATAGATAATACGTATGCTTTTAGAGTCACTTGAAAACTTAATTGACTGAGTTTCAATCTAATATCCTCTCATCTCCGTCATGTTAACTACAACATGGGACTTATGTATGGGCCTAGCCCTAATATAATACATATGTAAGACTACGATGCAATTTTTGCTAAAGATTGCCGATATAATCAATGAAAGATTTTTATCTCTGGAATGAGTGGCGACTTGTGTCAAATGCTTAAAAAGCCATAATTTATTTCGATGAATAAGTCAGTTTTCCTACTCCCACAATCAACAACGTTTGTCTTTTGTCTTAGGACTTGCTTGCATTCCGCTCTGCCTGCCCTGGGAGAAAAGGTAGTCATTTCATGATCATGTACAAGACAAATAGTGGCACTTGAACCTTCTCTTTTGTTAAATTTTTGAAAACAGCAAGACAGGTAGGCAAGACACTACCTATTGCGCAATGATGCCTTTGCTGGTTAATTGCAATCTGAAGTGTGGAGATGGGAGAGGAAGGTAATAGCAATAAATAATGCTTCCATTGTGAATTAGATTGGAATTCCAATTACGCTGCCATCAATACAGTAATTAGCCTAAAGGTTGAACTGTATGTGCATAATACTCGCACAATGGGATTATAATTTTGTAATGTGTAATAATATTTGCTACTACGTGGCTTCCTTCCTTCCTTCCTTCCTCAAAATGCTTTTGAAACTTGAAAGAAAATATAAAGCAGGCAATAATAATGGACGTTTGTTGCCATTGTGGATACTCTATAGCGTGGCGACTATATAGCCGGTGACTTTGCAATTCACAGCATTTTTAGGCATTGGGGTTTTTGGTATACCTTGCAGTGTCCATGTACTTCCACTTCTGAAAGCGATTGATCAAATGAAATGCCACCGCATTCAGAATTATTGAATACCACACTCGGAGAGAAATACATATTTCATGTTCTTGTAGCCACATTTCATTTCAACTACGACTGCTCAGTAAGTGACCTTAAAATCATTATATGAAAAATGAAAAAAGGCATGAATCATCGTCCATCACATCATTGCTCTTCCTTTGTGGCAGAAGGTAGGACAACGGCCAAGTACAATTGATAAGAAAAGAAAATAATTACATGCACAAAGGCAAAAGATTATTTAATTTGGAGCCAAAATGACAACTTCTTCTATTTCCGGCTAATCAACTTGTAAACGATATTCTTGTTGTTATTATTATTGAGAGCTGTATGGGCAATAATGAACGCAACGATGCATTGTTTTCTAGATTTATGTGTGTACATCAATTTAACACCGACCATTTGACGGTCAAAATTTGATGGTCAAAATAAGAATAATAATAATAGTTGTGGGTTGGTGTGGTCGATGGCTCTGATTAAAAAGTCGTTCACTGATCTAACTGTCTCATCCATGTCAAGTCATCTCTATTTATTTCATGAGACAACGTTAAAATGTCAGCATTAGATTCATTTTGTAAGGAAATCTCATTTATTGCTGACACTTTATTCGAGACACAGAGCAAGGCCGCAAGACTTAAGTATATTGAATGGCAATCACTCGGTCGTCTTGTTTGCCAAATGCAAATCGTCTTCATCGTCTTCTTGGACTTTAATTTGCAAATTCATTCGAGATTCTGTTACTGATCCTCACTCCTTTTCCGCTCTCCCCATTGTTCGTCAATAAAGTAAAGTTGAGCTCAAATCAAAAATCTCCACTCGAAGGCTCATCATTCCTTGTGCTTTGATGGAACAAGATTTTGTTTTTGTTCGCTCATGCTTAAATTAGGAATTGGTATTGAATTTAAATTAGCAATTGAACCATTGGACCAAGACTGTGACATGTTCTCTACTTTGCTGAGGAGATACGTACAAGCAGCAAAATTATATATGAACCTGACCTTCGTCCCAAACTGTGAATAAAAATGAACCTTTCGGAAGTAAATGAAAATCCAGACACTATTTGGGCTACATATGCACAATACATGTGACAGGAAAAATTGTAATAATGGGTTGAGACTTTTTACAATTGTCAAATCTGTAAGATCTGTGATCGCATGTGACAATCTATATTCACTCACAAAAAGTGAACGACAAATTAATATTAAGCGCATATCACTTACTAGAACCTTTCCTAAAGGATAAAGGCTACACAGTTTAAGCTATTATGTGCATTTATAAATGATTTTATTAAGCAATAGTTAAATTTTGACTGCTCTTTCTCGTTAAAAATAAAACAATCATCATATAATGTACATAATGCATATGTAAAGTTTTAAGATGTATGATGGAGTTCATATTACAACTACAACGATGTTGGCGTCGGCATAAATTGTTTGTCAAACTCTGATTATGCAAAGCTGTATTACGTACAGGAGCAAATACGTAATTGCAGGAATAAATTCTAAACAGGATCATTTCAAATAGATTAAGTGTCAATATTCGCATCAAATTACAGGCTCTTGAAGATTTTAATGCTAAGAAAATCTTTATAAACACTAAATGTATAGTTAAATAAGAAAATCATTGTTGCGTATTTATTAGCAAACTATTGATGAGTTGTCGAATTAAATACTTTAATAAAGTCAAATCAAGATTATTATTAATAATGCTGCATAAGTAATTTCATTGCCGATTTCAATGAAAATTCTGACTTGCAGGTTTGAGCAAGTCGTATATGTATTAATCTAGCAACTTGTGCACGTCATGATTTAATACATATTGCTCGTGTCATGCATATTTTGGATTGTTTAATAAATGTAAAATGTGCCGTTGCGGGCATTTCTTCAACTGAATGTATTACACATTCCGCCATATTTGTAATTTAAACCTTGAAGATCGAGGTACATTTAATAAATGTTGCATGCATGTATCTACGTATACAAGATGAAATCCTGTTTTTGGTACCAGTGTTAATTAATGGCTGGATGAGACTTCCTATACACACATACTCTTACCAAAATATGTGAATACATGAATATGCGTAGGAACATTTTATAGGTATAATTTCAGAAGATTCCAATAAGTATCGTGAAAATGATTTACGACACTTGCCAAATAACATGAATTGATCAAATTGATAAACAAATTCATTTGATGGAAGTATGCATTTCCATTTTCCTAGTTCCCACTAAAATGGTTTACTATTGTTCGATTGGAAAAAAGATAGAATGTGTCCGTCTAATACAAAAGTAAAAAATTTACATGTATGTTGATAGTCATTGTAATGCCAAAATACAATTGCTTGCACTTCCTCGCTCGTCGCTGGTCGTTGTGTACACGTAGAAAAGAAAAATGCATTGCTACAACATTGAACTCAAACTCATCTCACACATCAACTTCAGATTAAATTAAGTTATGAATCACTAGACACAGGAACGGCTTTATGTGCAAAAACTCAATTGTTGGATTTGGAACATGACATTTATGGCAGAGTTGATAAATGCTTGGCTTGGCGGAATTTGACGTTCCCTTCAATATTTGAAAAACCTTGAACATGAATGATCAATTAAGAACACACACTTTTGGCAAAAGATGCTTCCATTTTCCGATAACTACCTCAACTATTTCACCTTTATTATTTTGTCATAAAGGTCATAAAAATTGGCGGAAGTCAACTTTTGCCAAGTTATTTTTTGGTGCCCTCCAGTCTTTGATGAAGTATTAATTATTGTTTTGACGATTCTCAATTACACGCAACGTCGGACTTACATCCATCCATCCTCCTCCTCTGTCCTACCCAAATCTGAATCTGTGTGGTCTTTCTTGCCTGACTGACTTTGGCTTTTAAGTATATTTAATAATGCTTACAGCCATAATTACGATGATGTGTGCACTTGTCGCCAACACATACTCCTTAGTTTCATTTTTTAGTATGAAAAATGACTCCAAATGATGGTGATAAGGTTTATGGGTCCTGTTTTCATTGAACTGCTGGCATGCATATTTTCATAATGACTTAATCGGTGATGGTCAGGTTTTATGATTGACATGATAGCATAGGGCTAATAGCCATCACATCTACTCTTGGTACGCTTGTTTGAAACTTTGAAGTTCAAATGAAATGCTTAATCCTGTACAGAGAACCTTGTCAGAAAATGTTTATTAAAACGTGCAGTTTAATTGGGTCTCGCGTCAATACTTTTAAATCAGAAATAAAATCTAATCCAATCTATCGCTTACGCACAAAAGATACAAAACATGATACGAAAGTGTTACACTTGATCTCGGCAATGACTTTATCAACACTTGTCATTTGTGGAGTTGCGTAATTAGCCATTGTTGTAAAATCGACGCACAATGTTGTAATCGATTGATCAGATTTAATGGAAAGTGTTGAACGCGTCAAACGATATGTATAACCTTATTTGAGCTTGTAAATTGTATTCATTTTGTCAGACTTTTCAGCAATTTTACTAAAAGATAAGCTAGCTGAGCATCCATGAGATAGAAGAGTTCATATACGTAAGTGTAACCAACTAGGTTTTTTATGTACTAAATGCTCAAGAATATTTGTGTTTGGTTGTGTTTCTTAACTTAATCCCGGTTATATAACATGCAGAGACTGTAATTATCCAAGTAAGTTGAAGTGTTTGACAAATATATTTATTTGCACGATTCGGTTTATCCATTTTGGTAAAAAGGTACTCATAGTTAATCTTAAGTTATGTAAATTGAGTACATATAATACGTACATATAATATATTTTTATTTGTGAAAGCATTATGTACTTTGTATGCATATAAAATCTTCACTCTATATAAAGTTAGTCATATATTACAGGTTAAAGCACTGAACCGATTAATTGATATGGCTATGGCCATTTCTTAGAATTATATAATAAGGTCTTACATACATACGTATTACACTCAAGATTTCATAGAATTATGTGTCTATTACATTATTCAATCATTCTGGATATCTTAAATTTTGTAACAATCTGGATTTATTAAATAGTTCAAATCAAGCAGTAGGTGCAAACTACTTTGTCATACACACATTCATTTAACTCATTCATTATGGTAAAATTTTAGGTTATGCTAAAATAACTTAGAATAGGAATCAGATCAAGAGTATACCAGAGACGTAATCTATGTAGATTCCAGCTCAATATAAAAATTGTAAATCAAGGAAATCGTTGACAAACATTACACTTCGTGACAAATTGGATCATACTGAATTAACGGTACACATACTTAACCTAATAAATCCTTCTTTTAAAAATTGGCAGATAAATTGGTGACATCCAACTTTGAAGTACTTGAGATTAGAAATCTTCGGAGGGGACAGGTCGTACGTGCTTGAACAACACGGTGTACAGGATTCCAGCAATGGCTGCCCCGAGGAAAGGACCTACGAAGTACACCTGAAAAACAAAACATATTTATCATAAATAATATGCATACGACTAAACTAATTTTTTCGTGTTTTCCAGAACTTGTATGCACCGGTCCTAACTAGATAAACCCCATTTCAGCCAGGAAAAAACGAAGTATTTACATATACGCATAATCGGTATTATTATAGGTGAAAGACAAAATGAAACCACATTATGGTTAATTGTGGGCTGAATATGGAACGTGATAACATTGAACATCAACCACTAAGAACGGCCGCTGGTCTGGATACAAATATAGAATGCTTACCCAAAGGTCGTCAAATTTTCCTGTCAAGATAGCGGGGCCTAAATATACAAATACAATAAATTATTATCCTTTAAAATAATTACAAATTAGATGAAAGCATAGTGGTAGTATATTTTTTACCCAATGTACGAGCAGGGTTTAGTCCAGCCCCAGTAAATCCAATTGAGAGCAAATGAGACAAAGTCACCTGTAATCAAAAATATTGCTGGATCAAACGAAATTTCAAAATGACTAAAATTCCTGAAAGAGCTTACGGTGAGACCAATCGCCAATGGGATGGAACCTTTCACGTCATCTCGACGGCTGTCGCAACATCCATAAACTACCAAAACCAAGATGAAGGTGACCATCGCCTCAACAATCATTCCTTGATAAGCTTGGACCTGTTTAAAGTGCCAGTTTTATCAAAATGAATGTCATGACATGTTAAAATGGCATGAAAAGTCGAATGTAAATGTCGTACCCCAGTTTGTAATCCATTAGCTCCCAAGTGGTTTTGTGGCCAGTCAGCAGCATCAGGAACAACGGCCTGTGTACAGCAACATCAAATCATTACATATTTATACTTAATTAGAAACGGCAGAAAACGGAAACGCTTAAAGCATTCGCATCTTGAAAACAATGATGATATTACTAATTGCGTGTTTCTTTCCTTTCAGCCTAAATAATTTACATGGGACTTTAAAACTACATAACTAAATATTTTCTTGAACACTTAGTCTCTTATGCCTTGGTCTCTACATAATTCAATATTACCTAAAAATAACAAATTTTGGTTATACATGGTTGTTTTTTGACACTCTACCTGATATGTGCATGTGTGTATATTATATGTGTGTATATGCATATTCTTGCGTTTTCCAGTTTTCGTTAATTCGAACCGTTATTTCGGGTTCATTAGATGACCACATCAACCATTAAGCCTCAAAAATAAATCTTTATGTAAAAAAATAATGTAGACTGAAAACGATGCCAAATAATTTAACATAACAATAGTACTGGTTAAAATGTTGTGTACATTTTTATGTTAAATGTCGCACGAGTTGCTTCAGAAATTTACATGGTCATCTGAACCACATCGACAAATTTTACTCTAAAATGCCTACAAACGCCTGAAATGTATTAAATTGGTGTTATTCTCCTCTTCCAAACAACTGCGACCACAAACGCCCCAACACGAATGTTAGGGCGCATTCATTCATGCGGTCATGGCAGGTTCACTAAATGAACGCCTACAGTACGATGACTGCATAACGCAGCAAGTACGGCACATTGCGTCCAATTTTGTATCCCTACCAGTTAATTTCTCAAATTGTTTGGGCAATTCTTGTTGCACACTAAATTGATAGGAAATTTTTAAAGTACAATACGTTTTCCATGTCTTTCTGTCAAAATCAATAGTTTTGTATGTAAACTGAATTATAAGAATGAAAGAGTCCCAAAAAAAGTCCATGCAAATCTGGTTCCGTTATGTGTAACTAACTCATGACAAGAGTTACATATTTAGACGCTCAAATTAATACATATGTGAGCTTTATAAAATCGGTCACCTTCAGCAAAGCCGCACCCACGATACCTGTTAAATGTAATAATTTATTTTAGTATGTGAAATGTCTTTATTCTGTGAGGCACAATTAAATATCCCCCAAAAAGACACTATACTTCGGGTAGATTATAAATTGGTTTTTACAATACCTCCGAGGAATTGAGCAATCTAAAATAGAAAACAAAAATGAAAACATGAGGGTGGTTTTTTTATCAATTATTTTATTTTATAAAAGCAATAGTTTACCATGTAAAGCACTCCTCGCAGTAAACTGAGTTTTCCAGAAACGAGTATCCCGAGAGTAACAGCAGGATTCTAAAATAGAAAAATGAAAAATGAGAGTGAATTTGTTTTCATTACTTATTTTATTTAAAAAAAAATAATAACTTACAATGTGACCCCCACTGATGTGTCCGATAGCCTATTGAAAGCATAAATGAAATTACAATTAGATATCATAATTCCAGTGCATGAAATCAGGATTCTGACAATCTCAACACAAATATGAGTTGGCATCACAAATGGGCTTCTTCAAAGAAAGCCTTAAAGCCTTAAGACTACCGGTCCAATGCCGGTATCCTCAGAAAAACAATGTGCATCTCATCCTGCAGCAATTAAAAGGTGCATGCATTTCATTAAGCGTCTCTCAACGCTCTGAAACCTCACGCATTTCCGGACTCGCGTTACTTTGAGATTTTTTATCACTTGATTAATCCTCTCGGGAACCCATTTCTATTTTTAGAACATCAGACTAGCACCCGGATATTTAACTTTTTCTATTCTATTTAATGTTCATTGCACTTTCCATGTCTTCCGTAAATGCGATTTGCACATGCTTCGGTAATAAAAATTACCTTAGCTGCCATCATTAAAGTTAACAAAATAAGGCAATTGAATTTCAAATGAGTTCATCTGCACAAAAATGAACGGAAAGTGCCATTACGTAACAATGCTCTCATTTTGAAAAAAATGAAAAACGAACGACTGGACCAGGAAATGAAAAATGAAGTGCAATTTATTCACGTTCTGTGTTAGTGTCTTAATGCACAATCGTCTTGACAGACATGTATCACAATTATTACAATTAACAACCATCCTGATCAACTTTTGGTCGTTTGGGAGTGTTTTAATAAGGTTCTCCGTGTGAATGAAAAAGGTTTTGTGTCCTGATGCTGTTAGCATTTAATAAATAAACGTGGCAAAATCGGCACACCCAATAATTCTCTTCACTGTCATTTATGGTGTTTTGGCACAAAATGTGTAGTGAATGATCTAATACACGAACACGTATAGCCACATTTGGTGAACCGTTTTGTTAGGATTTTACGAATAAAAAATCTATTGTTTCGTACTCAAAAACCCTCGAGGAACATAAGAGTGGTTACAAAATGACATGAGCTTCATCGTATTTCGTAATCAAGGATAATCTTGTTGCCATAAATGTTCATGAAAGTTGGCAGAATAAGAAGAGCTGAAAAAGTTCATATTTAAATTATATTCTAGCATGACTCGTGCTTTGCTAATTTGTCCATGTTTCCATCACCCACAACAGAGACAAATTTCTTGTACACAAAAAAATCAGAAGGTGAAAAGTGCTTATGATTAAGATCACTTTATTATTTTTTGCATGAGGTAAGCATTAAGATTTCTAATCAGAATCTTATCTGCAGAGTATCAAAGCAGCCAACACAAGGAATGCACATATTTTAACTAGCATTCGCTGTCTTACATATGTACATTATTTACCTCATCCGACTACCTGTTTAACCAACTCTATCATCCATAATGAGATTCTGGTTTCCAATCGATTCAATGCGTTCAATGTGCAAATTCTGCTGCATCATTCCCACTTCATCATCTCAGTGAATTGTAGGTACTTACTTAAAGGCTGCTTGAACAATCGAGGTCCAGAAAAATTCTTTTATTTCTTCTTCAACTGGTTAACAGAACTTGTTTTGGAGATTTAAAATGAAATGTTACAACAAAAATAGATGATCATTGGGTATTTCGGCTATGGAAAATTAATTATGTAAATTGATCTGGTTTGCTGGTCTCATCCCAAGTTATTTAAATATTTATTGTCACCTTGAAATATGTACATATGTTCTACTACAAATATGCATGTATTTCAATGAAACATTGTTCTTTCTTTAAATTTTTTGGACGACAAAAGAATGACACTCACAATAAATGATCGTAGAATTATCAAATTCCGATTTCGAGTCCAGCTTATGGAAATGAATAACATTGGTTTCACCATTCAGAAGAAGATCTGGGGAAATGAATACCCAATACAGACGCCATTTGTATATTGATCAGGACCCAAAAGATTCCAATGAGCTTGGAAATTAAAAATGACACAAGAAAATGCCTGGCTCGGGTTATATGTATCAAGTCTGAACTTTACGTTTTAGCTTTCTGATCAAATATTATCGAAACTGTAAATGCGTAGAAAAATCTGACATCATCCTTCCATTTTAGTCCATGTTAGGCCGTTATTGTCGTGATCTCAAGAATTGAACTCCATGTGCATAATACAGATATGCTATAATAGCGGACACCAGACAATTACAACACACCCCAAGAAAACGGTGATTCCTTTCTGGTTTTGTCTGTTCGTTAACCCACGACGACGCAACTTCACTCTCTGCCTGTTACAATGTACGACCATTATTATCAACCTACCATCTGAAAAAACGGCCATCAACAACCCGTAGATTTCCTACCCTTAAAATTTCTCTGTGCGAAGGAGGATTAAAACTTCAAATCTCAAATTAAATGCCGAAGGCAAAAGATGAAATAAAGAAGAAGAAGAAGACGAAGGAAGAGCATATCTCGTCTTTCACTCGAGAAAACACTGGTGCATTCATACTCTGCATTCTTCACCACAGTTGGAATTGAAACTTATGACCTAACCATGTAATTATGGTTCACGTACATATTTTTTATCCCAACACTAATGCATTACTACTTACACTACACACTATTTCGAACGGTGAAGATTAACAAACGACTCGAAATATGACTGTGGCAGTTTTTGGTTGTCCGTTAACATTTATATCCAAGCTCATGGAGTACGCTCGTATCCTTCAAGAGAACCTTTTTACTCGCGTCGTCTAGGGTTGGATACTTTTTTGTAGAGCGGCACATATTCATTCATATGCAATCCTCGAAAAAACTATTGTTATGAAGCATGAAGTGTTGCACTTTGTCAGTTTAACATACTGCAGTATGCGTGATGCGAATGTACATAACTTTTACTATGGGAAGTGAAGATGTTACACACAAATCTAATTATAATATGGTTTGCAAATCCATCGAATAGCCAAAAATAATAACAATTTGAGATGCAATAAGGAATGTTTTTAGATTATTATTTCGCAAACAAATGAAATTGAAATGAACTCTGCAAGCATTATTTCAAAAGGAAGACTATCCTAATTTTGTAACAAAGTATTTTATTGTTGAACATTCCTGCGACTTACTTATTTTTTTTGCAGAGTTCATAAACAATTCTTGAAATTATAGTAAGGCTTATTGTCTGTTAAAACATGAACAACAAACTGAGAACTGTCTCGAATTTCCGCTGTTGACTTAGTCAGTGTGCGTGATTTCAATAAGACGGTAAGTATTGCTGACTATGTACTAAATTGTAACATTGAATGAATCAGTTAAAATATATAACGGACATTAATGAATTGAGTTCACAAAGTAGAGCAAAATTCAGGGACTAACCAACCAGGGACTAAATATACGTACATATGCATGCTCACATTAAATATATATAACGATGCTGAGAATTTACACATGTCATCAAAAAGATTAAATTACGGTGCTGATCGGATGTATTTATCTGGGCGCTGACAAATTCAATGAGGTCCAATCTGTGTTTTACATGTAAATATGTGTGGGAAAGTTATGACCGGATGCAGATCCAATTTCGGTTTTTAGTATTTATTGACTTGTTTATGTAAAAGTTTTATCGTTTACCATGAAGATCGCTGGCGACACTTGCATAATTACTTTTCTGTCTTAACTGGACAAAATGGTTCTTAGTATTGAGAAAATCGTACAAATGTCAACAATTTACATCTCCGCTTACTACTTGTAAACGAGTTCATGCTAAATGGATTTTTGTCTAATCTGTCAGCGAAACAGAATTAATGAAGAGGCGTCACTAACTTGACAGTTGGTGGTTAATTTTCTGACAAGGGACACTCACGACCTGTCGTTTGAGTCCAGGGTACCCACTATGTTTTTTAGAATCTACTAGGACCCCAGATGAAGGATTCATTCTTATTTCCGTGTAAAACTCATATTTGGCGCCATGGCGTGGCGCCAAATTCGCCAAATTTGATGGTTTTTCATTTTAAAACCGCCATAACTTTTGAAATCCTGGACGGATTTTCAAAATTTTTGGCAAAAATCATGACAAGGAGTTCAACTTTGGTATTCTATGAAATTTTTTCCAAAATTATCACTTTTAACTTTTCACAAAATTTCGAAATTTCGGGTTCGTCGAAAAAATGCTAAAATTATCTCAAAAATTAGAAATTTTGTATTTTTATTTTTTTCTCAAAAATTTCGACTTTTCTGATCATTTTAAGCTTAAAACTTGAAAATCCGACATAAACTGCAAAAGTTATGGGGGTTTGAAATTGGTCGAAAATGCAAATTTTGAAGTTTGGCGCCACGCCATTGGGCCAAATATGAGTTTTACACGGAAATAAGAATGAATCCTTCATCAAGGGTCCCAGTAGATTCTAAAAAACATAGTGGGTACCCTGGACTCAAACGACAGGTCGTGAGTGTCCCTTGTGAGTCACACATAATAATTTGTAACTCAATACCAGAAAACCAGCTTCTCCAAGTCCCTTTCTCCATACCCTAAAGAGGTATTTCATAAATTTGTACATGACGCCATAATATGAGTCTTGTCAGACTGCGACAAATAACGGTTATCTTAAATTGGCAATCATTTGATTATGTATAAAAACTAGACGAAAAACTATTTCCTTTTTGAAAATGCCGTTCCTTTCTCAAGCGCAGAATGTTAATGAAAATAAAAATTTGGGAAACAAAGTTTCACATCCGTTGCGATATTTGAATGTACGAATGCCCAGAATCGCCTCTGGTAGTACGATTCCCATTGTTTGGTTACGAGTTGAATAATTATGTACGATGGTGTTAAACAAGTCGTTAAACATGGCAGGATGGCACATTCACAAGATTGTTTATCACTCATATTTTTCATTTAACAAGACAATTTTACACATGTTCATCCTCCTCGCTAAGCAAACTAAGCAAACATTGATTCATGCACTAAAATCCACCATCATAACGATTACACGGCCTTGCAATGGTTTATTTAAGTATTTAAAATAAAATGGATATATTCAGCCATAAATTATACATAATACTTATTTGTTATATTCATGTACTCACTCGTCTTCTGCGTCACTTGCAGGTACATACTTATTTATGTACTAACAAGTGCATATGAATATCAGATTAACTATGAGCCTGATCAAATGAATGTTCCAAAGTTGTCATAAAGACATTAACTCTACCACTAAAATACCCATGTAGTAGCCTATCTGTTGCACCTCAGTTGTTCTTTTGTAACACCAGATTCCTGAAGCAAAGTTAGTTCAGATGGTAAAAAATGAAATATTGTTATATATGTCCTGTTCTGAACATGCACATGCTTATCCTCCTTTCTACATCGTACCACACAAATGACTGGGTTATTAAATTACACTCTACTACAAACATTCTATTTTACACTGTCAAGTCAAATATTTGACTTGATTTTCATATTTGGACGTGAACGAATGAGGATTCTCATGTGGTTGTGTTGTCGCGTGAAAGACATTGAGATTTGAAACGTTTTAATTTCATAAAGCATGCCAAGACAAACCGTAATATTTATTTTGCGATTTATGGGAAAAGACCTTGACAAGGAGGAAGGAATGCGTGTTTTGGTTTATAACTTTTGTCTTAGCGTGATGGATAAGCCCCTCCTTTAGTGACAAGGATCAACCATGGTTAGGTCCTTTATGATCAAAAATTATGAGAACATAAAGTAAAATTGTGCATGCAATTGGGCTTAAACTTATTTAATGAGAAATGCCTAAAGTTGACGAGTGAGACTGACTATGTAATTCGATACCCGGGTGTTGAGATTCTCATTTTCGCTTTTATAATACAATTTCCGTAAAGCATAAAAATAAGGTTTCTTACCTGAGCAGTGCCAGCAATAGTCAGTCCTAAGAAAGCATAAAAACAATTATAGAAAAACCTAATAGCATAGCTTGTAAAGCAGCCCATGATTTTTAACCTTGGTAAATTTCAGTAAAAATTAATACTTCACTCACCGAAAGCGAGGGAGACACAGGTGATAAAATCGGGTGGGAGTGGTCGTCCGTCAATTAATCCTCTTGCACAAGCGTTTGCCGTACCACATCCAAAAAATACCAGAAGCACCAGTCCTAAGAACTCGGCTACCAATGCCTGGAATAAATAAGTAAATATATATTTTAGAATAAGAATATATGCATCATCATCAATTATTCTAAAATACTTCGATTGAAAAGCAAGTACTAATTGTTTGTCCAAAAACTTTTCTACATTAAAAAATACGCAGATTAAAAAAAACGATAATTCTTAATTCGTCCCTATTTCATGGAATGAATCTCATCACAAGTTAATCGTATGATAAGTTGTATGATATGATGCACTCACCTTAAACAAAGGCATCCTTTGTTCCCTCACTTCCTGCAACCCGAAGACTTCGTCCATTTTCTTGGGCATTTTGACTCTTTCAATTTATCACCACCACTCACTATAAACCACCGGTAGCTTTGAGACGGGGGTTGTTCGGATGATCTCTTTCTGGCGTTGAGAGAGAATTGAGACTGGGGTCCAACCCAAGCCAAGCACTCGCATTTATTTACTTGTGGTTCCGACTTCTTCCAGATACTTGCTTGCCTAGCGGTATGCGTGTAGCTGTGAGACTGGCGTTCTTCTTTCTTCCCTTGCGTAATAGGAGGTTGCACTAGCGTCACTCTCCACTCTCAGGCTTTTAGTTGGATTCACAACAATAATACTACAAAATAATGTTCAAAAGGATTTCAACGACCCAACGAATCTGGTAGGCTGGCTGACTTTACAACTGGTTAGCTCATCATCATCATATGTATCATAGCATTGCATGATAACGCCGTATTTATGTTCAAGGCACTACAAACACGAGAAACGGACAGTCCGTCGTCAGTTTGTTACCCAGTTCAGGGTTTACAAACAAAATCGTAAAGATGTGCATACGTGTGAGCTTTCTTCTTATTGGACCATTTCAATTTTAACCTCAATATATATTCATCTCTCTTGAATATTTACTGGCTTGCTAATGATGATTTCGATTCAATATCCTGGACGGACACTAATAAATATTTAATACGTCGAAGAAACGCGACTTAACATGACGCAAAAGTTCTCATGACCGAATAACTTTGAATATTTTTTTTTCAGCATAAATAATTTTAAAGCTCATGTTTAGCTCTTATTCCCATGATTCCATTTGCTGATTGCATCGTTATTTTCAATGCAGCGTGAAATGCCCCATTTGTTAATGTAGGGTGTGGGCTTAATCACATCTGCTCGTGATTGAGTATAGAATAAATGTAACGAATGCCGCAATAATTCAACAGGTATCAATTAAACCGACGATTTGATACCGGATCTCAGCATTTACCGGATAAGGTCACCCTAGGCAAGTTTCATTTTGCTGGCATGAAATTTTTGGTGGCTGTCGTGTCACATCCTTCCGCAAGCACAAACGCACTACGCATTATTAATTGTGGCAAACACGAGGCGTTGCCCGTTGGCTTTATTTTGAATATGTAGGCATTATTTTCATGTGTGAGTCGGAAAATCGTATATATTTCTGTGTGATAAAGATATACTGCATGACTTTCATTTTCATTACTCAGCCCTAAGGAAATTATTTTAATGATAATCATCTAGACGAACAAAACCAGCACCGATCCTGCGTTTTTATTCGATTGTATGTGATTCGCACGCCACAATTTCTGAATTTTTCGTCAACATAAATAAATATGTTTTGTTCCAAAACATATTTATTTATGGCTCTGTATCGATAAAACTTTTGTCGATACATGGCCCTAAGAATTTGTCTAAAATATGCAAAGTTCCAAATTCCTTACCTAACTGCGCCTATTTTTCATGCAAACCTACCAGTCAATAAAGTTACTCATCCCAAAGTGTATTTACGGGAAATTCAGAAGGCCAAACCTCAACTGACTAAGGTGTCGATGTTGACTTTGTAGTAGAAAAACAATTCACGGAATTAACGAACTCTCCCAAATATTAGTCAGTAATCAATCTACAATTACAATAATGTTTTACAACTGTGTTTTGCAATTTTTTGCAAATGAGAATATCTTACAATTGGGATTCCACCTTAGACATCAATGAACATAGTTCTTAAAACATTGAAATCCTTCATTGAAATTCTGGTTTTACATGCACACATCCTCAAATTCAGTGTGTGTACTGCATACGTACATTCATAAAGTAGAAGCTAAACCATATTCAACTCAGACCTTTTTGAGACCAACTTATTTACTTTTCATAAGAAACAATTAGTGCACCACTTGGACCAAGTGCCAAAGAGTACACATAGGGTGGCTCAAAAATATCGAGTTGAACATGGCTTGCGCTCCCATTGATAGTTAGTTGGAACCGCATGATAAATGGTACTTCGCATAATACATGTGTATAATCAAATGAGTAACACACTGACCAAACCGGGTCAGGTGACCTGACTCAGGTCTGATGAATATTCGTATTTAATTGGAAATAGTTTTAGGTGACGTCACATTGACCACTTTCATTGTTTCTGAGAGTATTTCTTATTAGAAAATATAGTAAAATAGCTAGAGGGTCAATTCCTCGTATTAATTAATTAATTATTTAATACTTGGTCAATGAAGCTGTGAAATTTGCAAGGCTAATAAATTATTTTGCGGTTGTACGATGATGTTACATGGTTAAATTAATACACAAAGGAAAATTCGATCAAATTTTGCTTTCGTATTATTACTTTCTATGTACTTCCTTTTATGCGAAAACAAAGATGGTAAAGTGCGAAAGTCTGAGACACATGTAAAGAAAATATGGTGAATTTGCATAGAATGATCACGTAGCCTCTAGCTCTTTATCGATGTGAAAAATATTTTTGATAACATTTTTATTTAAATATGTAATCTGTCATGATTCAGTTTAATCGCTGGTTGACTTTTCATACTGCCGAACAACAACCAAGAAATTTCTTGTGCCTTAATTGCAGTCATCATTGACTCACAATTAAATCTGCATACATTAGGTACGACTGACCGTCGATCATTTTCATACAAGTTATTAACCTGCTGTTTTCATATGTATGTAGTTCAGGCCAAAGTTTTGTGGTCATGTGTATTATAACATTGACAGGATTGATACGATAGTTGGATAATCATTTTTAAGAAACCATTATCTAGTTCAACTTCTTATGTATAACATATTACTTTAATTTGCATTGCATATGTTTAAGTTCAAATTGAAAACAGCACAATGCAAACGAAGTACATGATACGAAGTAGCCAATGTTTTGGGACATCGTGCAATTTGTTCCATCCACTTTTATGAATTTTTAATCACTCGAAACGATAAGAAGATTATTGCAGTTTCTGAATTAAAAAAGGCCTTAATCGTACGTGCATTCCTGTTCACGATGCGAATGCATTTCTCATTTCGTGCTAAAGAAGTCAAGTGTTGTCTGTGATCATGAAAATATCTAGTTCGATGGTGGGTACTAAATATACTTGGCATTGACTGCGGTATATGTATTTGTACATAAATAAGTACATACAAATCCGGATGGTTAATTAATAAAGCAGATAATAAATTGTGATTGAGTTAACCGATCGAATGTTACACTTTTATTGACAGTAAAGTAACTCTTATTAGTCCTAAATAAATTGGCGTTTGTCTTGTCCACTGCATATTTAGTTTGCACATTTAATTTCAAATAACAAGAATATAATAATATATTTGATAAATATTAATTTTTTTGTTGGTGTGTAGTAAGTTGAAGGCATCTGTAGCTGAAATTCCAAAAGTTTTATCATTTTTCGGGGCGTTCCTTGAAACTAATTTGATAAATGAATCCAGCAAAAAATCCCCCCAACAATGGGCCTGCCCAGTACACCTGAAATTAAATAATATTCTTTACAATGCATCTTAAATTTCCAAGAAATCTAGTCGTAAATTCGTGATTGACAAGAGGAGAGGACAGTTTGAATTGTAACTACATAATAAATTTCGTTTAATATAACGAAATTTGGCTGCATATGTAAAGTATTATGTCGTCTCGATCAGCTTCTTAAATTGATAAGTTATGTTCTGATAACCTTTCCAGACTCATTTTGGATTTGTTCACTTAATCTCATCATTCATTTTATGTTTCCTCAGATGTCTCACTGCTGGTCTACAGAATAAGCTGGCATAATCATCCATCAAAACACGCTACATAATCATCTACACAGAATAAACTTATCATTGCTATAGGGCAAGTGAGTACAAAAATGGTGCAGCTTGTGAGTGGATAGCTTTTTACTTGTTCAGCCCATTACATGAGCACTTTGGATTATCGGCAGTCTTCAAAATGAACTAGTGAATATGTACGTGCAACCCAAAATATTCTTGTTAACGTGGTGTAACTAATTGAAAGTATAGTATAAAGAAATGTATACATAGATATATACATATGTACATACGTATAGTAATCATTATAAGTGTGTATTTATTTTGGGAACTATATAAGATCTCAAGTTTTATCTTCTTGTTCCGTAACAAAATGTCAAGCATAACAAATCTCTAATGTGTAGGGCTCGAATGATTGTGCTTCCAACAGTAAGCAAAACTCAATCACGTCAAAACATTATCGATTGGGGGCTGAAAGCTTGTCGACAATCTCCGCATTTTCCTCCCTCCTGATGCCAACATAAAAGTCTAATTCAATTAACAAGCGAAACTAATGGTGCAGTAACTCACCCAATGAAATGTCCAAATATTACTCAAAATAGCAGGGCCTATATATACGAAATACAATAATTATCTGGTAAAATAATTACAAATTCAATAAAAAATATAATGCCATTAAAACAATACCCAATGTACGCGCCGGATTCATGCTAAATTTTACCAATCACATATCGTTAAGGGCGATCTTGAAACTAAATATTTACGCACATATTTAAATCCATGCTTACCTACTACCCGTGTACTGGATCTGTAAAAGGAAGTTTTATTGAATTATTTAAATAATCGCATAAAAATATCGTCATTTGTAGCATTCATATGATCGTAAAATTTTTAATTTTGGAGAATTTGAAAGAGGTTTGCAATGTAATTAGGCTTGTATGTATGCAACATGTCCTCTACTAATAAGTAAGTATCAAATGACTTACAAAAGTTTAGGGAAGTCCCAAGTTAATATTATTTTATATTTTAATACGTAAGAACTGACACACTCATAAATACCACATCCGCTTCCGTTAAGATATGAATTCCAAATTTGGATTTGTTTTATTTTCTGTCATTATGAGCAAGCCAATACATTGCGTATTATGCAAAAGCTCAAACGACGGAGCATCAATCCTCATTCAAAGTTATACTTTTTTACTGGACAAATATTTTCAGGTCCTTATGTAAGGTAACGATGGCACTATATCATTCTCACCGCCATAAGATGACATGCAGTAATTGAGAGTCCAATCGCCAAAGGTGCAGAGCCCTTGATGTCCTTCCTCAGGTCGTCACATACAGCGCATACAGTTAAAACCAGGACGAAAGTAATAATTGCTTCGAGTAAGAGTCCTTGTAAAGGTGAAAGTTTAGAGCTGACCAATGTTAATCCCAAATTTCCTTGAATTTCGGCAGGAGTCACGGTCTATTTTTACACAATTTGCGACAATTTTAAAGACATGCTGATCATCAAAATGAATATTAAAGTCAACAAAAGCAACGTCTCTGCATGATACTTTTTCATAATGAAGAAAAGTCGTTGAACTATTTACCAAGGTACATAATACATTTTTGTGCAGCATACCATCATCAGTGTGTTAATATATATTTCATATACGGGAATCGAATAACAGATTACAGGTGTACATATTATCCGTCAAAATTAATTATACGCCACAATGATGTACCGTTTTGATCATGACATCATCAGACGTTGAAGATAAAATTTGGTAACAAAGTACACATGATCTAATATTTGCAAACATTTTTAAATATTAAAATGTTTTTAAATTCTGGGCTCTAATTAACTATCATCCTTCCAAATTTATTTGCGAAATAGTGGTTTTAAGGTCAGCAATTTTCAATGTCAAGAGTTTGACCTCGAGACAGATACCTGTTAATATAAATAATAATGACGGGGTTGATGGTGGTCACTACTAGTTTGTCTACCAAACCGAGGGTAACCAGCTCATTAATCAAGCATGGAAACCAATGCAAACTATCATTTGGTAAACAACCCCAGTATTGGGAACCCATTAAGGTATTTTTAGCACATGCATATTCATACATATTTCTTATTGCGTCCAACTAACCTTTAAAATTGCGGATCCGCAAACTCCTCCCATACATTGCGAAATTATGTAGAGAATTGCTTTTAGGATGCTACACTGTCCGGACGCTACCAGGCCTACAGTGACTGCGGGGTTACTATAAATTTTAATAACATTTCAATAAGTATTCTGCAGATCTTCGTAGTATCTAAATATAATATGATTAGATATATTTAAAAATTACATGTGACAGCCACTAACATGCCCAAGTGCCTGAAATTTCAAACATGTTGTAAACGATTCAGATATTAATTAGCTCATCATTGTAATCTGATTCACAACTGAAGAGCCTACACTAGACAAATATACATATGTATTAAAGTTCAACGGTCTTGTAATTTGAACTATAGCCAAACTTTTGGCATTGACATTGTTATAAACTACAACAAATTATATAAAAGACATGTTAAGGACAAATTATTCAATTTGACTCGCCCCTGATTTGAAAAGAGACTGAAACAGGAACATGTATTGTATGCATATACGTATAAGTATGTGTAGCAGTATAGTCAAGAATTGGCACTGACAAATATTGGCAACAGGAGCCAATTTATGTTAAATACAATTTGTTTTGCATTAAACCATAGCTCACTCAGATTAAGATTTACAAACAAGGTCGATAAGTAAATAAAATTGAAGAAGACCTTTAGTACATTTAAACGGGATATAAATAAGTACAAATTTATTTATTATATTGTAATTCATTAAGAAAATGTGTTAAAAATTGTAATTAGTGAATTAGCAGGTGTGGAAAGAGTAGACAATACATCATTCTATTTGATAAGTCTTCTATTTACAAATTCAATTGCCGACCCATCTTTCAGAAACGACAAAGCTTTGCAGACTGGAGTAGCATTATAAAACTTTTTACTTGCCAATAACCGATTTCGATGCCCTTTTGATAAGTTGTAACATCCCATGAGTGTACTAAAACCCTGACGCGGTTTGACTCCATGACCCCGTTTGTGCCCATTCAAAGGGGCGAAAACAAGAAAAAAGTTCGCCTGTTTTCGCTCATTAAATCCTTCGAGAATAATCCGATTTTGCTCGGATTTTTTAAATTCTTGCACTGTTGTGTCCCAGATATGTAGTTGCTGTACCATATCGATATCAAGCTCAACTTTTGAAACTTTGACTTTTTCGTAGACACATGTGTACCTCGGGAAATTTTCAAAAATACTCAAAAATTAAGAACAAAATTGAAATTTAGGACTTGTATCAAATATTAGAAAACTCCCTCGGACGACATGCATACAATGGTGCAAGTATTTTAAGAATCAGACAAAAATTGACTTTTAACAATACAATTTTGAAATACTACAACATTTGCGAAGGAAATCAAAATCGGTTATTGGCAAACAGTGGAGTTTCCTCCTAAGTATACATATAAAATCTATACTATGGAGTATATAACAAATTGAAGGTTAAATTATTTAACTGATTATGAAGAGGTTGGAAATGCATGGCATGTTTTTACTGCGAAGATGCAATTTTCAATAAGGAGTTTGGATAAAAACTGATTTACATTCGATGTAAGCATCCACACAAAAATCTAGATGGATGATTTATTTTTATTTTCGCTGCATGAAAGATACAGATGACATGCATAAGTTCGCAGTACGTACGTATGTATGTAGGTGTTAGCAGATTGTGTAGCATGATTAATCAGAATTTTATCATACCTGAAATCGTTCTGCTCAATCAGTCTCAAAATCCGTGTTATATATTGTGTAAAGACAAAAAAAACAGTTAAATATGATGAAATACCTGCGCAAGTGTTGCAACTATCAATCCGAACGATAATGCAATTTGGACCATGCTGGGGGAATATTCTGCAGTCCAACTAGAAATGCAGGTCCCACATCCCAAAAAAACAAGAAGTAGCGTTCCTATGAATTCCGCAATCAGCATCCTCCATAATCCTTTATTTCCGCAAACATCCTTAACTCCGATAATTTCCTCCAAGGAAATATTGCCCCCTTTTCTCCCATCGTTGACGATGTTCCAGGAAGAATTATTTTTGGCATAAATAGCTCGATCTACATTTGGATGATGATAAATGTCGCTGTCTCCGTACTCCGAAATTGGGCGTGGAAGAGCTGGAATCCCCATGGACGACTCCAGAGTGCCGCCGCTCTTGTTGTTTCGTCCCGTCGTCGCCATTATTGGCAATGGTACGTTCTCCATGTCACTCAAATCCATCTTGGGCTGTTTCCCCATCGCATTCTGTTGCTGGTTAAATGACAAGGCTCCGGTGTTGTTGTTTCGATTAAACTCTGAGAGAGTGTCATGCTGATGATGCTGGGCTTTGAGATGGGTTTGGTTCCGGGATCTTGTATTTCCGTCCATGTCGAAATCAAAGGTGGATGTTGCCATTATCGTCTTAAAGTATTTCCCCAAGCTTTTACTCAAAAACTATTTTTACCCTGTCCGTGTTTCGCACGTATGCACAATGGGACATTTACAAAAAGTGAGAAAAAACTGTATATGACTGTCTATAGACAAGTGACAAGAGTGTTGGATGGATGTTAGTACCTATGCATATGAAAAGGTTCTGCGTTCTTGAATTGCAAAATTCAGGAAAGAATGTTCGTTCGTATCTGGTGTTTGTGTCACACGTTCAGTGAAAATTTAAATGAAATAAAATCCTGAATTATTTTACGATTGTTCTTGCAGATGTGTCACACAAGGCAAGGTTTTTAGTACTCGGCTGAATTATACGCTAAGGATCAATACAGCACCTGCAATTCTCATGGTTTTCCTCGTATCTATTAATTATTTAAAATATAAAATTGTTCATTCCGACAACAATGCAATGTTATATTTGACATAAATAATTATGATAATTTAATGATTGTATATACACTGCTTTGCTCTAGTGAGACCCACGCTGTTTCAATGCTATTGTTGCGTTCAATTTTTAAAAAATTTGATTGACCAGTTGGAGAAATTCTCAAATTTTGATTTAGTAACAATGCAAACTATTCCTCGATGGTCTGGAGAATTTGCATGCACTGGAACCACCTTGCGTTTGTACTAAAATGAGCTTTACCCTTTGCAATGCGACTGGGAAAATCTTTGTTGAAACCATTAATTTAATACAAACGTCACCTTACTACTTACATAATCGTATAATTAAATTATGAATGAAACTGAAAGTAGATCGCAAATCGTAACTTGTTAATGACGAAATAAACAACTTTAAAAGGATCCGGCTCGTACAAATATTAAATTCATGCGCTAATACCGCAATTTTATTCTCAGTCAATATACATATATTTATTAGTAACATGTGCAAACATTATGCCCTTATCCTAGTGAATCGTATTATCCTTGCAGACTTAAATATAGATACTGTCGTCTCATTAAGGATTTACGAGTTTCAGAATTTCCAGATTTTACATTCCTCCATTTGTTTGCAAATTGTAGAATTTAACGTTGTGTATTCCTGTTTAATAGTATCATATATTTAATTATGCAGGTTTAACAATGACCTCCAACAGTTAATTATGGATACATCACATCAGTATTCAAATCTCTCAGCAATTTTAATTCCCGGATCTGCTGCAAGTCAATAATTTCTGCCAGTTTGTAGCGAGCAGCAATAATGATTATTGCATGATAATTAAGTAATGGATATTGGAATACTTACTATTTTACATTTTACATGACATTGATTTTTAGTAGAAGTAAACAAGAAGTAGTCTTAACAAGTGAAATATTGCAATATTGTCTCAATTAAACAGTTGAACATTGGGTTCTTGAATACACTCAAATGTTTACGTAAGATCTACGATTAACCATGTTGAAAGCACATGTGTGTGGATACATTATTCCAGCCATGCACTTTTCTGACAAGGAGTCGAGTTTGCTATTGGTATAAAATTATATTAAAAATAATTTACAATAAAAAATAAGTGAAGAAAAAAAGCAATCTCACCTGAAACATGGCGACAGGACGCTGAGAATCGTGTAAAGAATAAAGCATAGCATTGCCAGCCACCAAGAAATCAGTATCAAAACCAAAAACCAGAAGATGCCGTCCAAAATTCCTCCAAGTCTGCTCCCCAGTTTCCCTCCCATGGTTTTCAGATGGGGTGTACCGTTTGTAGAGTTCCTGAGCAGAAAGAGTATCGAGAACTAATTAACCACGGCACACGAAAATGTACAAATGTATTATTTTACCTAAATTCAAGATGAAATGCTGAAAAGTGGTAAATAAGTTATGTCTTCTTGGCCCCAACTTGACAAAAGTGAGGAACAAAAAAATGGTGGAATGTTAAAGCTAAATAATAACTGGAACAGATAAACACAATTATTTAGATGCATGTGACTTTCATATGATATGGAATATGAGTCATTGTCATCGGCAAGTCTTTATCTGCAGATTAGCTTCTGGATAAATACGTAAAAACATATGCAGTGTTACTGGTCTGTCAATGCATATGCACAGTAGAATGTTTGTTAAGGTATCTTCGTTGTGTCAGGTAATATACACGCACAAGTTAGTTTACTTAAAGATATTACATGGTGTATATATATACGTTTTATTAACTCTAATAATTTGAATATGTATGACACACCCAAAACTTGAACATTACTGATAAAGTTACAACCTTTCTTCCACATGTTATATGTACTAAGGATAATCAAATGACTAGTCTACGTGTCTTTGGTATCAACCTCGGTCGTATCGGAACACAGAGAGTCCTCAAGAGTTTTGGGATCCATTTTTAATATCTCTGATGGATACCCATTTTTAGGGTTGATTACAGCTTCGTAAACCTTCCGATAAATTGCAGCAAGGATACGAAAACTTTGTTGCTGAACATATTTTCTCGTTCCTGTATCAGACAAGTGATAAATTTGTGGAAGCAGGACGGATTCAGGGTCATTGATTACACTATCCAGTTTATTCTGGAAAATAAATTTTATTGTTGTTTTATTTAATTGCGTTATGCTTATCGAAGCACAAATATTTTCTGTGTGTGTACTTACGACAAATATTTTGAGAGACGCAGAATCCATTCCGGGCACTGTGGACAGAGGAGTTTCGACTTTATCGTTCAAAATGGTGTACATGTGGCTAATACCAAGCTGAGCTATCAACCAACTGCTTTGTTCCGAGGATAACCTATCCATCTGGGAGTCAATCTGACTTTTCAACGTATTGCTGATTGTCTTTGTAATTGGATATATTTCCAGAAATATATTGATTTGGTTCAAGCAATTGCAAAGATACACTCCCATATCTGGAGATCCCAATCTGTTTGCAACATCATTAATTTGAGACACAACGGGTGAAGTTACCAATTGAATCAGAATTTCAGCTTGTTCAGGTGAAGAAGGCAACGTGTCTTTCAACAAGTCACCAAGTAAACTTAACAAGGCTTGAATGATTGGAGATGGAGTTAGATCTGGACCAGGAGGTCGATATTCTCCAACTTCTGCTTGGACCTAATTTAGTAAATAATTAAAACAATGAAATAATGTACAATAAAATTAGACTATTTAAAAAAATTAATTTTCCATACTTGGCATCGAAGCTGGTTTATGAATGTTTGATGGCATAAAGAATAAAGTTCTGTTAACGTCGCTAGCAAGTTGCTTACCGGCAGAATCTGTAAATTGGCGTAAATGTCAATATACTTATCTAAAGGTCATCTATGCAAGATTAGTAGAATACGCATACGGATTAAATCGAATACCTGTTCGATGGTTTCGACATAAAATTTTATGCACATGTCTATCTTATTCATAACAGGACAATCCAAACCGGACAATATTGTTTGTTCCAATCGTACGTTGAGCGGGCGACAAACTCCATCCATTATAGTTGACATGCAAGTAACTATCTTGTCGTTCAAGTCTATTAAAAAATCGTATAATTCATCAAGGTGGAACAAAAGATTTAGTACAAATTTTGACAATTGCAAATACCAATTTTGTTGCAATGCTTCAACAGAATTGTCAAATTCTCCTTTTCATTAGGAATAGATTGATGAATAAAAGCTAGCATATCTCCAATATATCTTGCAGGGTCGGCACCTCCTACAAAACATATATGTATTCATAATTAAGTATCAAACTTAATAGTTTTATCATGATCGTACACACCTATTAACTCAATTCCTTTGATATTTCCAGCACCAGTCAACGCATCTATATAACTTCGCACAAAAAGGGAACGTCGGTGTGTACAATATTCGTCCAACACATATCTAACAAAAATAAAAACGACAAAAAATCGCAAGTGCCGGGAATTAGTTAAGACATAGCATGTTTTACTATATATTCTGTATTTATGTATAATTACTTTAGAAGCATTGGTCTGATTTGAAGATAAGAGAGGGACTTTGCTAAAACATCCGACAATTCTGGGTTTTCCACATGCTTTACACGGGACTGAGCCCATCGGTATATTTTTTCCAGTGCGGTTTCCTAATTTACCAGAAAAATTATCTTTATTTATTTCAACCGTCAAATACTATAAATACATTAAAAAAGAATACGTGTAATAATCCCATTTGATCCATGATTTCTACCGCTGTAGCTTGATGTCCAACTTTCAGTAAAATTGCAACATTGGTCTGTATTTGTTGAATTCTTTCAAAAACCTTAAAAAAGTCTTCATTCAGAATGGCTGTCGAGCTATCTGTCGTCCGTAAAATTTTTAGATCTTCGCCACTCAATTGAAACGCATTTAAATACGCCTGTGCCAAATTTTTCTCCACCATTAACTTTTTTCTTTCTGACTCCAATTTTGATATTTCATCAATAAGATTTCGAGAGCTCTGCTTACTAGCTCGTAAATTTGTCGACATTGATTCGCAGATTTCATTAAGGTCACTTAAGTTTGAGTGGAGATGTTCTACTCCATCGCGAATTTCAGTTATGGAGCCAAGGAACTGCTTGTAGTACAAGATTTGTTGATTTTCAATCAAAGTCTTCAAGTCCGGTCGACGTTTCTTGCGACTAATTGGACTAAGGTGAAGGTCTTCTTTGCTAGCACAATTAGATAATTGCGACAATCCATCCAGCAGTTTCTGTCAATCAAGCAGAGCACGCAATTAAAATATGCAATATGGAGAAATAGACATTTTTAATAACTGTATCCACAAAATTACCTGATCAGTTGTAATTCGTAAATTGGAAATACCATTGACGGCAGTTTGCAAATCCGGTTCCAAACTCATCCTTAACAGTGTTTATTTAACAAATTTATTCTGTGTTTATCTATCCACTTGGTTAGAAAACTACAAAGATTATTTTACTAACTCGACAAGAACAAATTTTTTAACTCTAATGTTGCGAAAAAATCTTACAAATTCAAACAACAATTAAAATTTGGAATTAAAAACAATATTGACTACAGATGACAGACAGCTGCTATTCCTAAACACGGATATTTACCAGCCGGTGAGTTGTCAAATGCCCAGAACTCCACGTCTCAAACTGCCTCTGTCGTCTCATTATGTTCACAATCTCTTACTCTATTCTTACCTTTTATTATTTTTATGCAATTTTTATTCAAAAAATTTTAATAGAGCTCAGCCTTTGTGGACTAAATGGATGTTGAACATTATGCGACTGTTTCTGCTTGAATACGACGATGACCGACGGTGTTTACACACAATGCAGGTCCAAGTGCATAGTTTGCGACAATAGAAAGTTCATTATTTTAATTCGTAGACCGAATTAGCCATGCGATTTTCATATGAAATTTTTATTGTTGAAGTATATATGTTTATTAAATGGCAAGTAGTAACATAATACATAAATTGGGCAATACAGAGTTCACGAATATTTAATTGTCTTTAAATTGGAATATATGTATATGTATGTATGTAATGTAATCAAATATCGCATGGTTCGAAATGAGTGGGCTTAAATATTCCAACAAATTATCACATATACTGAATCTCCGGTCATTTTAGAAGTACATATTACAGCTAGACGGGGATACCATAAAATTTGATATTTACTGGAATTTATTAATGCAGGTAAGTATATCTTAAATCCGTGTGTGATATTGTACATATTCCTACAAATATTATTTAGTACAATTTGTTGAGATTTTGTGATGAATTTGAGCGGGTGTCGATTCTTACGCTATAATATTTATTAGTTGAAGTAATTAATCTTTTGTAGGTAATACTTGTCATTGAACGTCTGGACAAAAAATAATTAAATATTTGAAAATAAAAATAATCATCGACCAGGCCGGTGTGGCGTAATTATAACATTTGTGTATATGTATAATTCATCACTTTACTAGATTTCGTCCACTTGATCCCAACCTTTCTGTCGTTATTTCTGTAATCGTGTATTGTAACTTCTTCGTTATTAGCATGCATGGGAGAGAAAAGGATATGGTGATTTATATCGTAGTATATTGAAATTGAATGGGTAGGAATTTTCGTTTTCAATTGGTACATATACACATATGTAGTTATATGAAAGCTGATTTTCAGAAGATATCATTGTCTTGCATCTTACAGAGTATTTTCATCTTGCTGAAGGTCCACACATGTTCCCTGAAACGATAAATCATAAAGTATTTCAGTACTTCAGATCTTTTCCATAATCGTGTAATACATACCTCACACATCCCGTTTCGCGTACCAGAAGTTGTCTCGGCAGGCACGACAGTGGTCAGTTCTTGATCATCGACAAAGACTTTTGGTTCCCCACTGTCTTCGACTTGGGTGTCGACACTGAGAAAGTTGGTTGGAGAAAAATCTACGGCCTCTGGTATGGGAATGACCAACCGGTCCAAGGATTTTACATTTTTCTCCTCATCACTTATCAATCTTTTTTTGGATGGAATTGAGCTAAAAAGGTGTTGGATAAAAAATGATATACTTGTAATTTTTCATCCTCTCTCTGGCACAAGGAAGGAAAATTTGATTTATTTCTTGCCTAAGAGTGACTCTTTTTCTCATTCTGGAGTATTCATTTTCGTCCGGATATGTGATGCTATGCGACAACCTTATCACAGGGCTACTGGGTTCACTAAACTGCACAAATAACACATAAATCAACTATCCACCCATTAAGTTAATTCAAATCTATTCAGGTGGTAAAATATTGGCACCCATTGTAATAGGATTTTATTGGCAGCGCAAATAGTACAATACAAATTGTTGCTTCCAAAAGATTGACTTGACACAAAGCAACATATTCTCTGATGGACAATTCACAAAAGAAAGCCAGCAGTCTCCCTCTGTGACTTGGGGCATTGTTCACCTGTTTTCCTAAGAGTATAGGCCGAGGTTTGTGACGATGGTGGGAAGAAGAGGCAGCCGGAGGTGCGGGTGGGCTGGGCGGTGGACCACTGTTGTTTCCGCTTGAAGGTGGCGAAGCATTTGGAGGTGACGGTGGCGAGGGGAGAATTGCCAATAAACGCTTCCTATCCTCCAAATACAGCTCTAAAAGCTGTTCGACTTTCCCTTCGATGTCCTCCACCTGGATGAGTCAAAGGTAGCCGATTTTACTCAATTTCCCTTGAGCCAGCCAAGCCAAACTCCACAATCAGCCACAATGCAGTAATCACATCAAAAGGACTTGTGTTTAATCAAAAACGGAAACATCTTGTCATTCCATAACAAAGGAACCAGTTGTGTACCTGTCTTTCCACTTTCACGATTCTAGCAGCCAAACATATTTTTGAGTCATAAACATCACGAGCTTTCGATCCTTGTCGTCCCAGAATTTGATCCAGTCTGTGAAAGCAATATGTTGAATGTTTTTATTTCTGCACTACATCTTTAGTAGCAGTAAATTGAGAACCACACTGAATATCCCACACCACGCTGCGATTACTTTTTACATGACCATGATTAAACACTCAAAATATTTGCACATTAACATCAATATGAACTGCATCCATTATACAAGATTAGGTAAACGTGCAGGCAAGTGGAGAAAGTGTTCATCAGGATATTCAGCTCTTGGCTTGTCTGTTGCAAGTTATCAGCGATGCTTTCTTGCCAAGTTGTTTCTAATTTATTTCATGACATGTCTCGGATCGCACGGGGTTCAAGATAAAAGTAAATAAGTCTTTTTAGACATACATACCGTGCCTGAACGCCTTTAACTCTGCCAAGTAAGTCAACATGACCTGCAGAATACTGAGAAGAAATTTATTTTAGGCCATGTTCAGAAATTCGTGACCAAACCGTACACATAGACTTAATACCTGTTCTATCACGTCTTTTACGTCGTAAGGCTGAAAATTGAGAAAAAAAACGGCAAAAGATTAATGGAGTTAACCAGCAAACAGGGATAGGTTAACTCTGTAAAGAAATACGTAGGTTATGTTTGTAGGTTAACTCTTTTTCAGTTGTGAGTAGTTGATATAAAGACTTTGATAATGGCAAAATTGACTAATATAACTAATTCTGTAAAGGTAGGCTAAAGTTTTTAACTCCAAGTGCAACTTACCTTGAGAGCTTCTCGGAACTTTCTCCTTGAAACGAGATACTTCATCTAGCAAGAGGGAGAGGGAAAAATTAAGTCAAGTGCAAATTTTATTTTGTATATCTGTACATAAATAGTACAAGTTCGAAATTATGTGCGAAATAAGCGGTAAATTGTTCATGCAAAAATGATGTACCAATGAAATGATGTAGATTTTTAAAGAAAATTATACGAGAAGGAAAATTTGCAAACCGATAAATTATAGTAAATAAATGGTCACTAACTTTTCTAATCGCCCGTACAGCGCTCTTGTGTCTTGCGGTGAGCTCATGCCAACGCCCATCTTCGTCTTCGCACAGGAGGTCATGGACTGAATTTTCCTCCCTCCCCACAGAATCCTGACTCGTGCTTGCATGGAGGCGCGGAGGGGGGGCCGAGCTGCCAGATGGAGGACATTTTGCGGAAGTTGGGTCCAAATCCCCTCCTCCAGGAGCACCACATTTGGGACCACTGCGCCCATCTCTGGCTTGGAGCGAGGGCGACGGAGAGGGTGGACGCAACGACTTGTTTCTTCTAATCGTTGGCCAATTACGACCGATGAATGAAGCGTTGTGTTTGAAACTTCTGTTAACAATAGTAAACACAATAGTTTACGTAGAATTGGCATCTTCTATACGTGGCTTGGTAATTTCATGCATCACAAAAAAACTAAGGGGCTAGGGCATGGCTGATTCCTGACGTTTTTATGGTTTAAAAATTTTGAAGGTTATGATAAGTAGAGAATAAATCAGCGAATATGGTAAAGTTAAAAAACGTACTCCCAATCACTTTTGCAGACCCAAAACTTTCAAGGTGTCCCTATTTAAACATTTAAGGGAAAACATCTCACCGCAAGTACAGCTGTAAATTGCTGAATACCAATAAATACTATGGACTACTCGTAAACTGCAGCATTTTTTTCCAAAACTACAGTAAAGGTTCGGAAACTCAAAGAAATTTCCAGTTTTTAAACTGAAAAAGTGGCTAGGAGTATTTTTCAAAAACGGATTTAGATATTCTAAACATGTGATGATTTTCAAAATTGATTCGTAAAAATGACCTGGTACACTTGATTTACTTGATTTACTTGATATACCATAATTTAGTTGTTCAATTTATGAGATTTAAAACAGGGGAAAATTGCTCGACTTTTACGATGCATTAAATTATGTTCAGACCTAAGCATACGTAGGATAACTACGTAGATTTTTTTTAGCTTTGGTTAGTCATTAGTAAATATTATTTTTCAGTTTGAGACGAGTAAATGTACGTATTATACATACATGTAAATGTACATGTAAGTAGAAACACAAAAAATTATTAGTGTTATGCTGTTGGAGTTAATAGGCAAAGGCATTTAGTATGCAGTACAAGAAGTTATTTAATTGCGATAGTACGCAATTTGGTATTAGATAGAAGCATTGCAGCGATAGAGAAAGTGTGGTTACTTCAAAGAATCTGTTGTATCGTGGACATGAAGACCTTTGTTCAGTGAGGGAGCCCTAAGCCTGAAAAAAGTAATTGAAGAGTGGAAAGCAAAAATTAGATAAACTTAAAATAAATTGCGATTTCATTTTGTAAAAACAATTTTACATTTTGTGTAGCATTTTTGGGTAACAAATAAATTTAGAAACTAAACAATCTAAACAACACTTCTACAGATTATGATTTAAAATAATGATTTTACACTACGGGGTATTAATTTCATGTATATGTAACTACAGGTCGTGTAAGTTTAATCGAATTTTAAAAACATTTTGGAAAAATTCGTAATTTAATTCTGTCAAGAGTGAAAATAAATGAATTGTTGAATGAATATTACATGTGTGGATTTATGGACAGTTTTTGCTCCACAATAAATCTGACCACATTGATTCAGACTCAACTTTTATGCAAATGCTTATCATAGGTGAAGTATGACTGAAATTATGATAAGCTTTAAAAATACGTAATGTTTATTTATCGCACTTTAAACCATTGAAATTATTGACGTCACTTTTTTAACATCAAATTAATACTCCAAGCAATCTATAAGTGCAAAATTGGTTTACAAAGTTCAATTCAATTGCGTCACTTCAAATTCTGCTGAATGCTCATAATTGATTCAGTTTATACAGCAATACACGCGCTCCCCGTAATCCTCACAGGTCAGATGTATCATCAAGCCATCAAGACAAATAAATTCAGAGTTCAATGTGTACATGTGTCGAGCAGGAACGATATAGTGGAATTAGGTGTGAGAGTGAATTAACTTTGGCAGCATGTGGTTTGTCTTTTTCAAAACTTAACCCGTTAGGGACCAACTACACATATTTGTGTAGTTTTTTGCTTTCCCTTGGGGACCAAGTACACAAATATGTGTACTTTTTTGCTTTCCGTTAAGGACCAAGTACACACATTTGTGTACTATTTTGTAGTTACGTTGGGGACCAACTACACATATTTGTGTAGTTTTTTTCTTTCCGTAGAGGACCAAGTACACATATTTGTGTACTATTTCCCCGTTACGTTGGGGACCAACTACACACATTTGTGTACTGCGGAAAAATTTTCAAGACCAAATACACACATGCATACAAGTCAAAATTTTATTTTACAAAATTTTAACACGAACCATTTATTTATGCACATTACCAAAAACTATATATCTGCAAAAACTACAACTGTAGTTCGCTGCAATGCATTGTAAAGTATGGTTTATGCTTAACGTCCTCGTTACATAACGTCGCCATAGCGTTAGCGTTCCTTCCTTCATAACGGGTTTACACTTTCTGTAGTTTTTACGATCGCTTTCTCTCAACGCTCGTTTTTGCTATCGGTCATCGAAAGGAAAGTAAAAATCCGTAAAAATCATAGTCATTTCATAATCTCATTAAAATCATTATGCCGGCCCCCGATCGACGTTTAATTGCCAAAATCATGATCCTCCGGAAACTTCGACGAAAACTGAAGCGAAAGGTGCGAGGTGCTGCAATTCGGCCAATGTTCTGGAATCGAGTGGACCAGGGGGACAGCGTTCTGATGAAAGAATTGCGTGAAGATCCTCATTATCATCACTGTTATTTTCGGTAAAATGATCATGCATAGCTATTCTTCTCAATATATCAAACTTGCAATATATTTTACAGGATGAATATGGAAAACTTTGACCAGATTTTGATGCTGATTAGTGGGGAAATTACAGGGAAAATGACCCATAGCCGACCAATTTCTGTCGAAGAAAAGCTTGAGATAACTTTAAGGTAATTAGTCATAATTAAATATAATTCAGTGGTACGTGAAAATGACTTCTCTTTCTACTAGATTTCTTGCTACAGGAGCTTCCCAAATATCTCTCTCCTTCAGTTATAGAATCTCGCCTTCCTCAGTTTCGAAGATTCTACGCGAAGTTTTGAAAGCAATTGTGAAAATCTTCGGGCCCATTCACCTACCACCACCAACAACAGATCAATGGATAAACAATGAGATTGGCTTCCGAACTCGGTGGAATTTTCCTAATTGTGTGGGCGCTGTGGACGGGAAGCATTGCAGAATCCAAGCCCCAAATTTTACAGGGTCCACATACCACAACTATAAAGGATTTTTCTCAATTGTGCTCATGGCTGTCGTCGACCACCAATACAAATTTTCTGCAGTGGATATTGGAGCATCGGGTTCGCAGTCAGATGGAGGCGTTTTTGGAAGGTCCGAAATTGGGAGGAGACTTGAAAATGGAAAGCTGGGGCTACCAGAGGCAAAGATAGTTGGACCTCACCTCCAGCCTCATGTTATCGTCGCTGATGATGCGTTTGCCTTGAAACCGTACATGATGAAGCCATTCCCAGGAAAATTTCTCACTCTGGAGCGCCGGATTTACAATTACCGACCCTCTCGAGCAAGAAATGTGTCGGAGAATGCGTTCGGGATGTTAGCTGCAAGATGGAGAATCTTTCATACGCCAATAGTTGCATCACTTGATTTAACCAGGCTCGTAATTCAAGCCGCTGTAATTCTCCATAATTTCCTCATCGATAAGCAGGACATGAATACGATCACCGCGGATTCAGATGATGGGAACACCACGGGAAACTGGAGGGAGACTACCACTGGGGACACGGGAATGATCTCTTTGCGACAACAGGGCAGCAATAACCGGCGTCAAGAAGCAGTAGTTGTACGGGACAGATTTTTAGAATACTTTAATAGTAATGAGGGAAGTGTTTCATGGCAAATGTCAAGAATTTCGTAATTTATCTGTAAAAGTGCATCATTTGATATACTTTGCCTTTGTTAATCAATTCTCATTTGTAATTATTTGTCATCATTCTCAAAGTAAAATTTTTATTATTGCAACCGTTAAATAAACAACAAGCCGACATTTTTAAAATTTTAAGATTACGCGAAAGATGAATAATTAAGCAAGAATTTCTATCTCTGCATCAAGCACTGCATCATTAATTTTACGCTGAAGATTGAGAAATACTTTTCTGTCCAATTCTGCAATTCTCCGCAGCTTAGGGGCCAGCATTTTTCCAAAGCTGTCGTGCTCATCGTCGTTTGATTTGAGCAAATCCAACATCTCCTTGTCAAATGCATCCAATTTTCGTTTCTGCAAATTAAAACAAAACAATAAATATTACATATGAATGTCCTCTAAATAAAAAGATTCTTGTTGCCCTAATACCTTCGAAGCTAGAGCTGGTTGTGACCGTGGTACAAGTGCAGAGGTTGTCGTTGTCAGCTCTTCACTTCAGTTGATAGTGGATCAAAATCGTCGGGGAGTTTGTCCACGTCAACCACTTCAATCTGGATCTCTGACCCCGGTCCACACATTTCCACAAAAGATGAATCATCTTCGTTCACAAGGTTGGAGACAGTACTATTTATAATGATGGTTTTATAAGTAAAAATTATTTAAGCTACTCATCAATCAATGCAAAAGCACCTATATACACTATTATTACCTTTCATCCGGGTCAACAGTGTCACGGATGAACCGCATTGATCCCTCGTGCCGGAAAAAAGGACGCGGCTTGTCTTCCATTCCACTTGGATTGCGCAATTTTCGTAGGAATCCGCTGAATTGGCTGCGCAATTTTGTCCAAAGTTGCTGACACTCAGTTTCTGAAAAATTAAATGTTTAGAGCTCATGGAAGTGAGAATTTTGACTTTGCAGTAAACTGACCTGTCTTTAGAAGGATTTTTCCAATTTCCTCCCACATCAATGCACGAGTGTTTCTGTTTTTGTATGCATGATCCTTTTTGTCGTACAGTGCAGGACGTTGCTGAACCAGAAGAATTAACTTTTCTTCCAAATCCAGTGGAGATTTGGGCGCAGATATCACTTTTGTGGTCATTTTGTAAAATTTTGACTCAAAAATCGTAAATATTTATAAAATTATCGTGATTTCTAAAAATTTCCTCTCTCCTTCGTGCGTGCAAAAGTTGAAAAGAGTTCAACTTTCATGGTGATCGTGAAGGTGCCGTGAAATGAAGGAGGAAATAATGCATAAACCCGCATGGCGAATTGCATAGCGAACGCTATGGCGACGCGAATGTAACGCGGACGGGAACTAAAAACCCGTCGGTTATCAATTCTCTTAGAGATCGCTACAATTAATCAGAAAGCATAAACGCACCTTAAGACTAATTTTAAATTGTTCACGCTCAGAAATAAGCGTATTTTGGAGTTTTCCAGAATAGACATGTTTTCGCCCGTGGCGGAATTTAAAATAAACTTAATTTTTAAAGAAGCAAAAAACGATAATTTTTTGAAAATTAAAAGTTTTTTTAAATTGATTTTTTATCCCGAGTCAGGGCTTATGTACCCGTCATGTCCGTCTGTCTGTCCGTCTGTCTGTCTGTCTGGTTTGCGATAACTGCCGTAAAACTAATCCTATCGACTTGAAATTTTGCACACATATAGTATGGGTCAAATGAGGAGTTGAGTTCGAAGATGGGTGAAATAGGTCAAGTGGTTGACCGGTGGGGGTCATCGGAGTGGGTGGGGTATTACGCACCAAAATTTCAAAATTGTGTTAGAAAGCTGAAATTTGGCATAGAGGTTGCTAATGGTTTATAATGAAGGAATACAAAGTAAAATTTCAAAAATTTTCGTCTGGAGGGACCCGAGGGGGTGACCCATACCGATTTTTAAAATTCATCAAATCGAGCTGAAGTTTGGTAGAAAAGTTGGTAATAGAAGAATATTAATTAAAATAAGAACAATTTTCCCATAGAGAGACCCTATTGGGTAACCCATACTTTTTTTTGTAATCTTCGGAAGCTGAAATTTGTTACACAGGATGGTAATTGTTACTAATAGAAGAATATGAATTTAATTTAATTTTTTAATTTATTGATATGCATTTGCGATAAAATTTCATGCAAAAAGTCGGATTGAGTGATAAGCACAACTTGGCCTGACTCGGGCTATATCAAGTCTGCACTGTAGGTTTTATATTTTCAGGGTAGTAATTCTGAGCAAAAATTGTGTTTAATTTTTGAAATCGGATTAAAATTCGAAAGGTTACAGCGTTTTAAAAATCCTGACTTTGGCGGATTTTTTAAATTCCACCACGGGCGAAAACATGTCCATTTTAGAAAACGAAAAAATACGGGTCCGCTTATTTCTGAGCATGAACTAACTAACTCCGGTCAAGATCAGTGAAAACCACTTGGACCTTGCTAAACTATAAAAATGTATGAATCAATAACTTAATATTATTGTAATGAACTGCAGATAATTTTTACTAATATGCATAAATAAATGCTTAATGTTAAATAAAATCATCAAAAGTTGCCGAAATAAATTCGGTCCTTTATGGTTTGCACACCCACTGTGAAATCGGTGACGTAACTACGCTTACTTTAAAATCATTTTGGTGACGTAGCTACACTATTGGTAAAATTAAATTGGTTATGTAGCAACAACTAACTGATAAAATTCTGGTCCCCAAAGGAAAGCAAATTTCAATTATTTCGGTCACAAAGGGGTTAAGTACGATAAACAGAAGTCCATGTGGTTGTGACCAGAACCAAACTTTCATGTGGCAGCAGTGGCAACGTCACTTTTTATTAACAACCACTAGCATTTCCGCAAGTGAAAGTGAATATCTCGACTAACGCACCAGCTAAAACCTAACCAAAAACACGTATCCCTATTTTTTATGCTTTCATGGAGAGCATGGTACGGCTATTTCGTGCAACATTTCACCCTGCTCATGGTGGCGAAGATGAAATGGTTCATCGTGTACATCGCTTACTGGTCACATTCGGTTGGTTCTCATAACAGTAATGTCCTCCTATGTGTAAATGAGTTTAACAGGGAGAAATTGTAATAAATTTCAGTTGAAATATATTGCTTTGAAACAGTTCAGTTTCCCAAAATCAATTTGGAGCAAGCCGTTATCGGGCAAATACTCACTGCGCAATGTTGGGTGGAACCCAAATGATAAAAGCATAGCAGAAAAGTCAAGAGTTCTTTGCAGGTGAGCAGAGTTTATGGCCCGCACGAGGGAGAAAGCCACTAAATTCATGAAGACCTACAGGAAATAAATGAAGATGCATCATTGGATTGGATTCAGAGTCTGAGAAACATCAAGATCTTCCATGGAATCCTCTCTTCATTCCTTCCTCCCTCGGCAGGGCAGGTGTTTATACAGCTTCTGGCTAGTTGTAGATTGTGACTGCCGGGGGATAAACCGGATTGGAAAATCATTCGGAAGGATTTTTAGTCGTTTCGTAAACTTTTGGACCAAACTGAACCAAACGCTTCTCCAGCTTTCTTAGTGGAGCAAAATATGCATAACATACGCTTTATGAATGATCTCAAGCAAATCTTACGTAATGTACATACGTATGAGTTTTTAGTTGCTACACTTTTTAGGTTTTGCAGAAATTAAGTCATGTTTTGAAAATTGGAAAAATTTAGTAAATAGTGAAGCATAGTTAAGACCTTGAAGAGAAGAAATGAGGTGAAAGTAGACATATGTACTTATTTGTGAGGAATTGCATGCACAGAAAGTAAAAATGTTTATGTTTGCATACATACATGTGTACTTAAATTAATATGATTACATTTTTATAAAATCGTGATTGAGTGGAAGTTTGGGTGAACAGAGGCAGACCTTGTTAGATAAAAGAGAAAGCAATTGATTCGAAGGATGGAGAACGTACGTGGGAGGAGAGGGCAGCGGCGTGAGATGGATTTTCCATGTGGCCACGGAACAAGAATTTTCGTCCTGAATGAGTCATATATAGAAATACATATGTGCAAATACATATATCATATTTGAATTAATTATTAGTTATTGATTTTGCGTATAGTCTTGTAACTTAATTATTTTTTACCGCTGCGTAACATCTCCAGAGGCACTGAATTAGAGTTGCAGCAGGTTGACGCCGTCTGATCATGTGCTTTTGTCTTTGTTGCTGTTGAACTTTAAGAGCAAAACCCGACCCCAATATACCCTGAAATAATAAGAAAAATAAAAAAATCTCACAAATAATGATAATACGTCAATCAAGTAGCCACCTAAAATCAAGTCACATTTTGGATTTCAATTCATCATCTACATATAGACTGATTTATTAGAGTAAAATGCATATGTACATATGTATGTACATAGGTGCATATTAAGGATCCTAAGTTTGGAGCACTGCATAAAACCGAATAAAGTAGGCCAAGTTGCAGGCTGCTTTCAAGTGTAAAAATATTTTTCTTCTATTCATGATTCACAATCAAACCTAGAACCGTGATATGCAATCATCCAATTCAATCTGAGGTAGTCAAAATATCTACATACTTAGAAAGATCTTATTAGTTGGTCAATAAGGCAAAAAACTCTTGGAACAAGTTGGGTTATATATGTATACATATACGTATATATGTACCCGGCAAACGGAGAGTATACTAAATTTTCTAACGAAGCCTGTAATCTGGCCGATGTTAATTTTATTAGTTGTGGACGGAACACTGATGCAGGAGTCAGATTAACACTTCGTAAACTTCAGTCATGGAACATTATGTGTGGCCTAATAATGCGTGACTTTCTCCCGTGCAAACTTTCTATTCCAACCCTGCTGTAGTCAGACACAAATGCTATCATCACATCACACTATCGTAACCCATTGATGGCTCAGAATGTCTCGCTATGACCCTTTGTGAAAGTCGGGAATATGACCTATACACCGATAAGTTGGAATCTACAAGAAAGATTAAATGCCAGCCAAAGTAGTGTCCATTCCTTCAAACTGCGGTTATGACCATTTTTATTGCGCTCAACGACACGCAAGTGTACGCAATAATGCAATATGACGAAGCCTACCCATTGAAGTCGAGTCTCTGAGACTCTGTCCGAGAGATCAAATAAAAATAAGTGCGAGTTTGCTCGTGGTCTGAAAATCTTATTTGTTCGATTCCTTCACTCATTCACTCACCAATGTATGTGCACAAAAGAGGCTTAGGATTGCTTAGCTTTACGATGAGGTCCTATGCTCTCAAATGACAAATGCAATTAACCCAAATCAATTTACATTGGGCCAATAATAATTACAATGCTTTTCGCACGAGAACTTTGCATTAATCAAGGTTTTCCTTATCCCCGCTGAACAAGTATCAAAACCTTGGGCAAAGTCTGTTTTGCAGAATCGTACGGTGAAGAGTGAAAGTTTACTGGCCGACCTCTCATTAGCTGATTTCTGTAATGATTGAGTAGATGAATAAAAGAAGTTGGAATAAAAGTTAGAACGTACATATGTATAATGTAATTCATATCAAAAACCCAGAAACCGTATTAGACGTGGAATATATATATATACGTGTAATACGCCATTTATCGAAGAAAATACTGAGTAATACAACAACCATTTAATCAAGGAAACTCCAAACTTTGATAATTAGTAACAATTGGCACTATGTAGCAGAGAATTGTAGGCTTGACTGATTTTTAGGGGAAATCCCTTGATTGCAACTATAATCAGTTCCGACTAACCAAGCACAGCGGGAGTGATTAATAGCAAGGGTTGCAGATGACCGCATGATAAATTCAGCAGTGAAATTCGAGGCAATGAGATTTTACGATGCACATGGGAAAGTGAAATAGACATGTTACCGAATTATTTTATAGTTATACATAGATCAAGTCGAGCCAGGCACTGAAGTGCGTTATGTACATACGTATATCCGGGAATTAATTATGCACGAGGTCGCATCATCTTTCTTTATGATCCAACCCAGTTCAAGATGTGACGGTTACATATACATTCTACCAAAAACTTTGCAAACTTTTGTGCAATATATCTCCGGAGCCACTCATTCTCATGCCTCAAACAAGTCGTCTAATAGCACGAATTGCGATGGTTTGGGGCTTTGACGAATGAACTTTCATACATCACCCAAGATGAAATATCGTCACCAAAGACGTAATACTTGTCGGACCATACACAACTTTTGTATCAATGACGAGTATAAATAGATTATGGATACAATTAAATAGGTAAAAATTTCCGTTGTATGTAAGTATTAACTAATGGGCAAATGGTTGTTGACACTTACCGCTGGAAGAGCAAAGAAGGATATGCTAATTAGGAAAAAAATAAGTGAAATTAGGAATTTAATTTCATGTCCAACAATCGCCTTCTAAGCCAAACTTACCCCATAAGTGCACAGAAAGAAGCAATCAGTTTCCCGATCCAAGTTTCGGGGAAAATGTCCTGCAAATGATTCATGTGTCATATTGAAATATTATGCATATCCATGAATCATTACTTAAATTTAGAAAATACTTATCTTCAGACTTACCCCATAACCTACTGTCGTCAGTGTCGTCTTATCAAATCAAAACACATTTAATTAGCTTAGACATACATATATTTACATATGTAAGTATAGTCTACAGTAATAAATAAGCATCAGGAACAAAAGTAATGATGCAATTCACATCTTATATCTCGTATATTTGTTGAGATTTGATAATTTGAAACTTTGTAGGATGATAATCAGAAACATTTGTTTTGAGGTGCCGGGCCAATTTTGAAAAAAATACTTCGAGATATTAGGATATGATAATCAGCTAACTTTACAATTTTTTTTACTTGATGGTTTTATTTTTTAATTGATAGCGTAACTCTTCCTGAGCCGCTTAAAGTCTTGCGTGTGTCTGTACGATTTATTTGACCAGAGCACTGATTTTTAAAAATACCGTGTCGGAATTAATACAAGATACAGGATGTCATTACTTTTGTTCCATACTGCATCTCTTGACTCAATAAGTAATTTCAAACAGAGACTGATAATGTAACCGCTCTGTTTGTTCTATTTATCCTCATATGCACTCACAATTAAATGGCATTTTCCACTTTTTCTACTAACAACTAAGAGTTTAATTGATTGTCAAATTAACAAATTCTGTGACAAATGCAACTTTCTAGTTATGAGCAGTTTTGTTATTAAACTTCGTTTCCGTTAGAGAAACGGAATGAAACGCTAATAAAACACTTATGCACGTATTTTTGGAATAGTGAGGAATGCTTTGAAACAAAGTGACTTTTAACCCCTTAAATGCTCCAGTAGTACAGCTAAATTGGAAAACGTTTGATGGATGCAAATTAAAAACAATTCCGTTTGAGAAGCATACGGATGGTATATGCAAGTCAAAGGAAAAGAAAGTCATATTTCTAAAGAAGAAGCTTCTTCCGTTTCTAAATTTAAGAAACTACTTTCGTATGGATGCATCAACCAAAACTTTGTTTCGCAATTCTTTGTTCTTAAATTTGTATATACTTTGGAATAATTTAGATTAATTACGTTGGAAGAGGGTATCGTAAAATAATTTTCTCAGCTATGTGTATCTTTATATATGTAAAATTAGTATAATCTACAAGGAACAGTCTCGTACTACTGAGACAAAATAATCGAAGAATGAAAATTTATCCACCCGTGCCCATGCCATCGACATATTTCTGAAAAACAAGAACTATGAGTTTCACAAGACCGTTTAGCTATTTGGCATTAACAGACCTGCTTCTGAAAAACGTATGTAGTTGGCTGGCTCTAGTGGCCGGCCGCTTCCTTAATTTCTGGCAGATGGTAGACGGAAGAATGATGAATGGGTGTGGGAGAAAGTGAAATATTAACCTCGGAGCTTGTTTCTGCCAATCTGAATTCTTTAGTGTGGAAAATAGCTGCTGTATAAACTGAATATTTTTCATGCAACTGACACGGGTGAAAGTTTCCACAAAAATTTCCAACTCTTGCCTTATTCCATCCAACATGGCAAACGAGAAGGAAAGCATAAAACTCAAGCGATAAAATTTGGTTCAGAAAATATTGCCGTCCTTTCCAAAGAAAGTAAAGGATGTGCTGTAAAATAGCACTCATGCATAGAGAATCATGGCATGATGCATGTACAACAGGAATTCCTAGAGTCTGTATACAGTGGCTCATTATAAATCTCTAATACGTGTATTGCTAATATTTGTGGTACAGAACCGTTAAATCTGTGTTCCCTTCTGGTCTCATTTTGCTTTAACGTGACTTTACTTTTACCACGTTTGCGATTTAAAAATCTGACCAAAAAGAACACTTTGTGTAAGTAGGGAGGGATTGTTATATTGCCAAATGCCACGCCATTCTAGTAAACAGAAAACGATGATAAGAATAATTACCACTGCGGTGCCAAACTATCTATTTCTCGCAGTTATTAAGTGAAGCCAGTTGTATTCTTTTGCCTTTGCGTCATGGGACCATCCAACTACTTCAAAATCAAAGAAGCATCACACTAATAATTGGAGCGGAAAGTATTTTCTTTTCTGAAATAAAGCGCCTGCTTTGAGCAATACGGATAATGGCAACAACAGAAGAACTGGGAAGCGAAACATAAATGACAATCAGGCTCTGAAATAACTAGAGCAAAATAATTAAGACCTCCTTGGAAGAATCAGGACTTTGGAAAATCCTTGTAAATAAATGAACTCTTCAATTTTTCTAACATCTTTTCCCTCCGAAACGCTTGGTCTAGAAAGCAGCTTAGTTCAGAGGAAGTTGCCGTGTCTGTGTACGGCTGGAGAAGAAAACAAGGAAGAAACTCGCTTATTTCCAACGTGTGGGTTTGGCAATAAATGGTCAACTAAATAATTGACGACCTTAGGTTTACTGCTTTCACATTGACTGAATTACATTTATTAAGGGATCGTAAAACAGCATTACATTACACACTTACCAACACTGCACTAGTTGACTGTTGTGTCTTGCTTATGCAACAAGGGGAACAAGGTGCCGGAGAAAGTAAGACCAACCTCGTCAATACCAACAAGCATCGAATTAAGAATACTTTCCAAGACGTAGAATGCAGAGTAGCAACAAACAAATACACATGTACATTGTGCTTGTGCAGTCATCTCAATTCTGGTTGGTGTTTGCTTACACCACTCGCTCGAGGGAATCGGCATCCTCTTATGAAAAGCACACCACAGAAGCAATTCAATTTATGCTTTATTAATAAGGATCAAGCCAGACCTATACGAATCAACTGCGTTTGTTCCTTTTCATACTAGCGCTAAAATAAAACATGAACACAAAAAAGCTCTTTGCGAAATTTTATTTTGGACTGAAAGCGTTTTGAAGTCGAAATATGCAATTGTCGATTGGGAACTATCGCAATAAATAGGTTTTCTATATACGGAATTATTTTCCTCTATCCAACCCAACATCTCATCCAGTGGGAGCATTCTTGTGGTGGTAGGAAAGTAAAATTCAAGTGTCCTTTTGTATGTAACTAAGCCATTGAATTGGAAAGAGTGTATGCGACTGGTGCAAATAAAGAAAAGTAAGTAAGCAGTTACTTGAACACTATATTCGGAAACATTTCTTGGTATAGCAAGCAAACTTCCATATCTTTGTACAACTTATCGAGTTAGAAAGAGAGCTTATGGGCATTAGAGCATGAGTGGCAGTTTCTACTTCATGCATTCGAGTCTGTCATGTTCGGAGGCTACGTCTACAAAGAGTAAGATCCTTCTAATCCAATTCGAACAATAAAAAGTTCTGGTGTTGTTTAAACACTTCCTTCAAAAGGAAGAGACAACAGAATCCTTGATGTATTCTTCAGTACAAAACTACAAGTTGAGACCTCTTCCAAACACAATGGCAAAAGTCTCGTCCGCACAATACGCTGCTTTGGGAAAATAATGCGAACAATCTTTCCCCACCGGTCTTTGCAACTCCTACTCAATTCCATGCAAAGTATCAACTCTGCTGTTCAATTGCCCTACTTTCTTAATTGCTAAATAATACGTACTTATATAGACGCCATATTTGCAACATTGAAAGTATCCTGTGGCACGGTAAAAAAAAGTATCGGACCGTTTGTAGTGAGAAAATAATAAGCGTAATTATTAGGCCACATTGGGTTGGTCATTTGGTCTCCAATAACATTCGAGCTACTCATTAATTATGTACTTGAATCCAGGAGCGCATAATGGAATTTTTAAGAATTGTGAGTGCTTGAGGATATATGTAAGTACATACGTGAAGGTATGGAAAAAAGTTCTGGGTGGAAAGTTAATTTTTTGGTAGTGCATAACCCATCATAGATTATTTCTATAAAACAATAATGTGCGACAATTTGGAAATAATCTATGCCAAAAATGTCAAAAAATGAACTTTTCACCCTCAGTATGTATGTATATTATTAAGAGATAAAAACGTCACTCAACTACACCCCACCACAGCGCCTGTAATTAAAAAATGTCAGTTAAAAATAATTATCAAATTAACCAACGCATTTTGTTTCATGTTTTTTTTGCCTCAGCATAGTTAGTAAACTTCGTATGGGGTTGATCCTTCTCTGCTAAAAACACCAGGAATGAGGAAAGAATGAGTCCGAGGAAACCTACGAATGACGAATAATTCGATTTCAATCGTTGAAAATGGAAGAAAGCGTTCATGAAATAAATGGCTTTGAATAAGCAATACCTATGTAAAGCGTAGTAATGAGTTCTTGTCGATGAGCCCAAACCTGAAAAAATAAATAAATGGTATAAAATGAACGTAAAATTTATTTAGAATCAGTTGCGTGCGAACGAAAGTTTATAAAACTTCAGTGGTTTATTTTGTACTCATATTTCACAAAGAACAAAAACAGGGGCTTACGACGGAGCCGAGTAATTTCCATGTGCCACCACGTCGATCAACGCGTACCATCCGAAGGATTTGGAAAAATCGAAGACTTCGGAGTGCAGAGGCTGCGAATACTTTTCCGCTCGACCCCTCAGCAATTACTATTAAGAATGATTGTACTAATAGTAATCAATAATATTAATTACTAATATATTTCATAATTATTACCAATTAAGGAGGCTACGATTGTAATTACATCTGAAAATAAAAATGTAGATCGATAAAGCAGAGAAATTGAGTGAAAAGATCCTATTAATTACCTACACATAACTTTAAGATGCCATATGCTCATTTAAGCCCTACATATGCATTAATGAATTTTATACATGTGCACACACATACTTATGATAATATGTGTGTATTTGTAATATGCATATCATGCATGTATGTAAACGAATTAATTATTGATGTCTTGGACAAATTTTAACGTACAATTACTCGCATGATAAAAACTCAAAGTCAGTATTCTTTACAGCAATGAGATATTTAAAAAATAGATTATACTTAATTGTAATACGTAAGACTACTACTGTGTTATATAAATCCGTGGATTTGAAAATTGAGATCAGAAATTGTATCTTATGTAATAGTGTTTTGTTTTATGAATGTCAATATCATATGAGATTGGAAATGTTTGTCAAATTTTTACTTCATATGAGAAAACAATGTGAAGAATGCATTTTTACTATTTTTTCTATATTTATGTTGTGATTGACCATTTTTTGTGGTTATTGATTATTCGTTTTCACAATATTTTCTAAGCCATCTCTAGATTGGAAGTCGGTGTCTGTCAAACACTGCTGTCAGCCATACTCTAATATAACACATATGTATGTATGCATTATGTAATCCACGGATATTGTATTATTTATTTGAAAGTTCGTGTGCGTCATTGACGAAATTCAATCCTATGAGCACATTGATGGGTTGTTTTCTCCTGTGTAAAAGAAAGGAAATGGTTTCCATGTTTTAGTCCAGAGTTGACGAAAAACATGAGACCCCATGTCAGCATGGGCAGACAGGAGCCAGATATTTTGATGTACACTTTGAGTGCATCATGATGCTCTATGAAAAGTGGTTGGAGAAAGTGAAAACCTTGAGTGAAAACGGGATAAAATGACGGAAGGTGTGTCTTGTTGAATAGAAATGAGAAGAAAACCAGTAATGCAAATGGAAAAATTACCAATGATACAAAACGGACGTCGTAGGAACAGAAGTCGACCCATGGCTCCGATATATCGAGATCGACACCCAGCAGCCCACAATCGAAGGGCGAATTCCGTCGTAAAGCAGGTCACAACAACAATCTCCATATAAAATAAGGCCACTATTGAAAAAATACAGATAATCAGAATTAACGTTGGTAATTCAACTGTTGTTAAACAGAATTATGCAAGTTCCAACAAAATGAAAATGCGAAAAAAGATTGGAAGTTGTGCTGAATGGTTGTTCTTGACAAAGGATTTTAGTCTATGTATAAATGTACGTTTTACTTACCGGTTGCATCCTTCTCATACATCTCGATGGTTGAAAATACGCTCAGCGCAAAACAGCCGAAAACTAGACAAAATCTGTTTAAGAAAAGAAAGTTATACAATTTACTTATATGTATCTGTCGTAATTACAAGTATGTACGTATACAAAAGTCCAATTTCATACATCGTACATACCCAAATCATAGGTATCATGTATTTTTTTAGATCGTTTTTTGAAGGCCACACCTAACTGGTCGAAAGCTTAGTTACATTGAATTTGTATTCCAAACTCGAAAAGCTGAAGAATTGTGAGTAGACCACTGGTTACTATTTGCTAAATCTGCTGTAATTCGCAGTCGTAATCAGGAATTTCAGATCATTATAAATCAGACCATTGTGTAATAAGTCCGTTTACTTAATTTATATTCTAACGGCATTCACATTTCCGTGTCGATTACTTGTACCCAGTTTACTTCCCTGTTATCATCTTCCTTAGACCCAAGATTGAGAAAACAACTGCATTATAAGCGCACTGAAGCATTAATCTTTCCTGGGGATTTGGGATTGTAGCCACGTACAGCAAAAATTACTATTTATCCAGATGCATGGTAAACTATGTACTTGGAGTGGATAGAAAAGAGTTTTAGAGGGGCCATGCAGAATTTCAAGTAATTGTCTAACCAAATCGTTCTATAAGGAATTAGAATCGTTTTATAGGGGAAATAGTGAACCAATAGAATTTGTGAGAATTTTAAAACTTATTTAGTATCTAGGTTTTTCAATGTCCTTGATATTCTATCGTTGTGAAATCTTGATAGTAATGCCAATGGTCAAAAATATTCTAGAATATATTCCTTTATATTTTGTAAAATATATAGCAGTACTAATAATATTACTCAACCGTCAAAGTGGAGAAAGTCGAGCAGATTTCTTTAACCCTATCGTCGCGTATTTGTCGTCATGTTTTATCAAACATTTTACAATCAAAAGTTACTCGATAGTTAAACAATCTGGCGGATTAAAATGTTCATTTGTAACGTCATTAATCCCGTCTAGACTAAATATTGTTAGATGGACCTTTCCGGTGTTATATTTAGAGTCAACGACGCCTTGCATCCTGGCGCGATTGTCCAGGAGGCCAATAAAATGCATGTGTTGCTTGGAAAATTGTCTACAACCTTGCACATTGTTAGTACAAATATTTCCAAGTGCTCTGTACCTTTCTAGTAGTATTCTGGCACCCTGAAATACACAACTTTGTCTAACTTCTTTTTTCTTTTGCCAAAAATTGTTTGTCGTCTTAAACGGTATCATTCTAGGGAGTTTAATTACTTGCATCGTAAATTGTCATCAAATACTATGTAACAATGCACTCTAACAGAATAATGAAATTAATCGCAAGCTATAAAACTTAAGCCAACTAACTCCAAACTATACTTCAACATCAAATTATTTGGGTAGGATAGATAGAAAGCTCTCGCTGAGGCAAGGCAGCAAAACATAAAGTAAGTACATAAATATATGCATCTGCATTTCAACCTCAAATATTTGTATTGCAGATTTGGAAAGTATATATGTATTTGTAGGAAAATTTGCAGATGGATGGAGCAGGTTAACAGCAGCACTTGGAACTGGAATAATTGCTTTCTCCACGCTCTCCTTTCTGTCGACACCGACGCCCGTGTGATAATTAGCGTGCATGGGGAAGTATCAATATTTAATGATTTCAAGAACATTCATATTTAGTCATTATGCATCCTTGTAAAAACACAAGAAACACGGAGTTACAAAACCAAATGCACTTTCTTATTGCATAATACTTTAAATCGGTTTCCCATAAATCTGTGCATCCTCACTAGTAATGATACTCTCATAACGACATTTCTCAGCATTTATTCCACTGGGAGCAATGCAAATGGATCAATGAGGGGATTAGCAATAACATGATAAAAGATGTACTATGATGCTAATGGTTGCATTGTGCTCAAACTGGTGGTCCGTTTACTTGGTTAACACGGACCAATCAATATTATTGATTGTTAAAATAAATGGACATTTTCATACAAGTTTTTAGCTAACGCTGTTTATGGTGTTTAGGGCGAAAACTTTGCTAGCTTTAGCAGACAACCACTTTCACTAGCATTTTACTATAATAAATGACTTTTGTCATAAGCACTGCACTGTATTCGGCACTCGCACCATTCGTCGTCTGGCCTGTCAGGCCTGTGTCAGCCTCAACTACGGACGATTTCCGTGTTTGTCATACTTCTTATGACGCTTTTCATGCAGTTTTATTTTGTGAACATGTTGCACGACACATAATATTCAGCAATTTAGAACCACGCGAAATATACTGTTCACCTCGGTTCACGCGAAATATACTGTTCACCTCGGTATTAAATTCGCTTGCTAATTACAATAAAACATATGTTAACTAGGGAATCAATATTTATGCATTCGCAATATTGGTCGTTAAGTATCAAAATGAACTAATTGTGGGCAAGTAAGATAGACTTGTACAGTAACTATTAATGCCAAGTACTAAATTTAATGTCGTCAGACTGTCTGGCCTGTTATACGTTACTGGGTTCACCAATAAATATATTACTTTGCCAGTCTTGTAAAATTAACTATTTATATATATCCATTCATTTATCACTTTCATAAACCCTGGTATTAAACAAATATGCCTTTCATTGACATCGTGTTAACAATTGTGCACAGTAGTAAACAAACAATATATATAGTATATCAGTATAGTATATGTATCCTGAAATTCTGTTGATGGAAACATGGGTAGATATTTAGATAGATAAAGTGAAAATCTGTATTTTTAAATGCAAGTAAGACTGGTATCAACAAACGCATTCCCTAAAGTACAGGTAAAATGACAGTGAAATTATCATCTTTATTTACATTTAATATTCACTGTTAGTACTACATCTGATGATTTCCTATGTTTATGTATGTACAATTCATTGCGTTTCCGATGTTTTTTTACATACTTAAGAAAAGTAGTGACCTTATTTTGTACATGAGAATATCTACGCACTTTACTACGTTAAAAACTGCTGAATGGAAGGAGAACTAAAAGAAGATTCTCTCCCTGTCTATATCTGCTCCTGACTCGCTATTTGCACTCAACCAGCCAGCTCTATTCTGAAATTGGCGTGGGGATATTTATTTATTGCTTCTCTTGGACTCGACTCGACTAGTCACGGAATGTTGAATGTGGATTTTCAAATAATGGATGTTGAATGATCCATCCAATGCATCGCTACTAATCTGGGTGACCACCCGACTGAATGAGACTGAAATACTTGCGTTGATCCTTTCAGTGTCTCAACCTTTTAAGAGAAAAGACTGCCTGGCGTTGTTACCAAACTCGTGATTCGTTCCAGACTATCGTTACACACAGCACAAAACTTTTTGTTGTGACGTATTTAGTTCACTGACGGGCGAACATTGGGCGTCTACGCAACCACCACAGACGCGACCACTGTGCGACTTTCACTTTTTGCTCAAGAAAGGTTTCCTCGTCACATGTCTCTGATAATAATTAGATCTGCGTCCTGTTATTAGGCCAGTCTTGTATGAAAGTGAGGTATTACGTGAGAAAATGACGGTTAGCGTAAGAAACAATGTTCATACATAAATACGTATACGCTGAAGGCATGCATTTACTATACTGATCAACACACATCCGGCCGGACAGATCTTTTGTCATGACTTTTGTACTTTCGCATTAACTCCACATCTCGACTTCACACATTCCTCTTGAAAGAAATACCACTGGAAATGCCATATTGTATTATCACACTCGGCCAACTCTTGACACCCAAAGGCTCAGAGCCAAATCTTGTCCGTATACTCCTTCACTTGGAGAAAACAAAAGGGCTGTTCCCCAATCCGCACAACTAAGCTGATGCCAAGTGGAGGCAGCTTTAATTAAATTCCTCCTAATAATCTGAGGATTGACTCGTCTGCTAAATAGTTAAGTCAATTCGTCTTGTTGTACTGAAAGACATATTTATGTGTCCTCCGCAATAGATTCATCTTGTATCGCGTCACTGCAGCGTCATTAATATGAACCAGAGTTAAAGATAGAAGCACCGCAAGAAGGGTAAAAAATATTCCAGGATTTTCCTCTCAGCTACAGGAAAGTAATAGTATGCTTTCTCCTGCCGTGTTGCATGTTGCCCTGCTTGGTGGCTTTTACTTATCCTTAGAATACGGAATAATGGACGAATGGACGGACAGCAGATACGTACACTTTCTTTCGAAGGAATGCTTAAATGCACGAATTTCTTCCATTCGGAACAGACGGTGGCTCCTGCTACTCAAGGTCCGCCGTTTTAATTGAAGCTATAAAGAGAAAGGAAAGCGAGGTTGGATTTATGCCTTGCTTTCATCTGCCAGTAGACGATGAAACAATTTACCTTTCAAGGTAAAATCTTTTACATTCCTTCTCAGGACAGCGATTCTTTCTTCTTAATTAATCACTCAGATATTCGTAATCACAGAGAGCGCCTAGCAAATGTTGACATGATGGATGGATGATAATATCTCCAAACCTAATGAGCAAACAATTCGCTAAATTACTTTACTTCAGTGAAATTTCATGTAATCAATTTCCCTAAAATTTTGGTTGGTATCAACCAAATGTAGCTAATTGAGTTCAGTTCACGAATTAACCAGAAAAATGTGCATCCTAGATTTTCTTTATTTCAATCATCCTTATAAAACTAAATATATCAGAATCACAGAGCAAGCAGACTGCACTTTGACATATTAGTTAGAACTTTCACTTTGATGAGCTAAATATTCCAGTTCACTATATTTAGTATTGACAAATTTGCGCATAACCAGGACATTAAAATACAAGGCTTTTTTCAAACAGTAGCTACATAAACGAAGTAAAATGTATATTTAGTCAGCAGGCGATTTGCCATTATTCGCAGAATAATTGCAATTCTCATGTGCATGTCAACTCATCTCATGTCGGAATATAATTTGGTCGTCTGGCATGATTATGTTTATCTGAGCTATAAAAACTGCCATGCATAGTGCCAAATATATGTATGTATGTATATCGGCTTTGTTATGGTAAGTAAATTACCAAAAGTATGAACTATTGACATACTTATCCTTTTTGCATTAAACCGAGTTCAAAATCCTTAATGAAGTTTGATGTCGACGTCATTACCAGAGTTAATTAGACGACATTTGCCTTGTGTAGTGAACCTTGTATAACCCTTCGTTTTTGAAATATTTATAAAAATGAAAAATGATTCAGTCTAGAAGAAGCTTCGTAGAAATGAACCTCGTTAATTTGGGCATGATTTTGGATGGGAGTATTGGTACATTCTCATCATCGGAGTTCGTCACTGTAGCTTCTGGAAATTTTATGACGCCCAAGCTGACGACGATTGCTTTAACCTGAGCACTACAAATTTTAATGCATCGACATCGTCATTGTCTAAGCGGATATAAATATGTACGAGCTTGCACGAGTATGACTTGTCAGGCTGCTGTTTTACAATTTACGAGCTAAAAAACGCTATAGTATAGAATTGCACTGCCAAGACGGCTGTTCAATAGCTTAGTGTTTGTGTCTATTACTTTAACTTGTGTAAGTTATTGACGTAAAAGCAGCGAAATATTTTTAGCCAAAGCCAAAATGATCCTCCATCAGCCATTTGGTACAAGTATTCGTAATCTCATTATGTTTACATTTCAGGTACGAAGTAGTCTGTTTCGTTGTCATTTTGCACACATGTGCCTTTGTAATTTTGCTTTCGTTTCGACCACCTATTTCTGCTTTTTGTTTGTGTGCAGAGCAGATGATGCGATTACGTACGTATATCGAGTTTTCGCTCTTGCTGCAATTGCCTAGTTCGTATTAGACAGTGTTGGATTACTTTCTTAAAATGCTCACTTTTTCCTAGATTTTGAACATTCAGATTTAGTCAGAATCTACCGTGATTCAACTGATATGCATACTTACATAACTTGGAATAATAACACGTGGTCTCTTTGTTTTTCAGACTGTTACGCTTTCTAAAATTTATTACAGGTTTCAATGTCTTATTAGAAATTACGTAAAATAATTTTCGTAAATTTGAAGTAACTTCATATATATTCGACTCTTTTATAAATCTTTGGCCTAAAAAACCACAGCTCTGTGTGCAATTGCAAACAATAGTTCTCTAACCAAATTGACTCCTCTGTAATTCCATTACATTTCAGAATAAGAAATCAGATTTTAGAGATGTGTTTTTCCAACTTCCATTTCATCTTTCTTGAATATAAATTACGTTTCAATTCAGCTTTCCTCCCTGGTCTTACTGTGGCCTTCAAACTGGGTCAATGTTGCTTGCGTGGGTTAGAATAATGGAATTTAAATTATACGCCGTGCTTCATTTGAAAAGAAAATGAAAAACATTTGATTGAAGTCGGAAAAATTACAAACAAAGATTTTTGGTGCTATTTGTAAAATTAGCATAAGAATGACGGAATTTGTGGAAAAGCGAAAGGAAATTCGCATTCTGGAGGAACATGCATACGTATAAATGGGTACATACATAAGCACAGTGATTCGTAATATATTGAAAGTACAGTTCTCCACTCTCTCACAACTCAACTCTTTCTGAGACTCGTGCATGTGCTGGAGTTGCTGGCTGATGATGACAGCATTCTTTCATTTTAATGCATGGACATCTTGAGAAACTCATTTCTGAGATTTCCCTTCGGTCTGTACAGATTTAAAACATCCGAGGTTTCATTCATATTTAATGGACCATGTTCCGCCAACTCACGGACATTCGCAGTTGAAAAAATTTGGTGAAAAGTCAGATCGTTTAAGTGACGTGTTCTTGCTTAATTTAAGTAGCCTTCAATCTCAAAAGTAACGGGAAAGCTACATGAAAGGAAAAAATAAGGGATTACAGTATCCTTTCCTAACTTGTGAACTAAATGCGGCCTCTTTCACATGAGAATGATGAACTACTTACGGATAGATGGAATAGTTTTCAGGTTGTGAAATAGCCAAATTGATATTACTATTTTTGAGGATCAGGTATTTCAGTTCAAAATAATAATAAGTGGATGGTTCAAATGGGTTGCATAGCTGGTTCTTTATATGTTTTTACTACTTTTTACCCGAGCAACGAAAAACTAACTTAACGGGTCGAGTTAATTTTTTTGCACACTTGATATGATCAAAAAGAAGTATAATCAAACCCTGGCTCGGGCTCTATCAATATTATAGGTTTAGGTTCCAAAGAATCAATAAACCACAGTTCGAAAGAATATTTATATATAAATTATACAACGCGCACATGAAACACACATTTTTTCTTCAAGATTATTGGAAAATGTGAAAGTACTTACATGAGTATGTGGTAGAGCACAGCCTTTGGACCTCTAGGCCTCTCCAGGAAATTGTATAATTTGCACTGCAGCTTTCTGTATCTGGTGTCTTTTCTGCTACTCCTGCCCAAACACATAGACGGACTATAATCTAGGGTTCCACCATTCAATCCTGAGAAGTCCTTTCGACGAGAGGGACTAACGCCATCGCTGATTTATTCGTGTATTGTTGTTGTAGTCGCAGTTTATGTGATCGCATTTGGAATTGTTTGTAGCCAATGTTCCATGTGTATGATTTCACGAGCGGCACGGAATTTACAGTTTGGAATGAAATTTACATTTTAAATCTTATCACAGGCCTCATTGTAGCATAAGAAGGATAGAAAAAGTGCTAACGTGTCGTGCTTTCAGCTTACTTAGACCAAGCTAGTTTAGAATTGAATTAGTGCTACTACTGATCAGTTATCTGCATGTATCAAGTTTCTACGAGATTGCATAATTAATAATTTGCCCTATGTTTATGGACGATAGTTTATGTAATCGTAAAAAAATGTAATCGTTAAGTGCTTCTGGATTTTAATTTTCTAGTTGAGAAAATCTTCTAAAATGTAGATATATACAAGCGTGGTTAAAGATTGGGCTAAATTATTGATAGAATTTTGACGTGGTGAAAGTCTTCGAATTTCCAAAGTTGAAGATGGACCTTCTACTGATAGTGAGCTAAAAATTCGATGTGTTTGTGAGTACAGTTGCAGTTTTTTTTTGCATGGCAATAGATATGTAGAACAACTGTTGACGAATCTATTGAAGGATTGTAAACCTAATAGTTTACACGTCCCACTATTTGAGCTGGCATGTGAGTATGTGTGATAAGCGTGTGTGATAAGCGTGAGTGGTGGTGGACGAATAAAAGTGAGTATCTAATTTGAAATCAAGTGTGGTGGTTTAATTGAAAATCGGCGAAGAAAGAAGATAAAATAGTTAAACGTTCCTCAACGAGGAGATTATTAGTAACGAGTAAGCTAAAAAAACAAATGTGTCCAACCTGAATCCTAGAGGCCTTCCAAGGAGACTTTTCCTTTGTTGGGTCAAGGAGCGAAAATTCGGGTCCTCTCGAATTGTGACACCAACGGACGAATGTTCCTTCTCCGGAGGGCTGGCTCAACGAGAAACAAAAAGAGAAACTCACATGAGTTTATTGAATTGCAAAACAATCTATTTCTGACAAGGAGAGCCACACACGGGCACGAGCAGCAAAGTACTTAACCTAAGACGGATAATAAAAACCAATGCTTTTCATCTTCCTGTTGAGGAGAATAAATTTCTATTCGCTCCAGGATCTAAAGCTTTACTTTGGTTAGCTCCAAATCTCTGCTCTTGTGATGGCTCCGATGTGTAACAGTCGAGTTGCACGTTGTTTTATGTGGTAAAATGCTATAGGTAAATCACCACCTTCCTCGGTAGTAAGGCAAACAGCATGATCTCGTTTGATTTACTGCCCTGCCGGTCACATTTTTGCAAAGTAGTAATAAAGCAAAAAGGTTTTGGGATGTTGTTCTTATTCCATATCATGCATCGTCCATCGGAATCTGCCCGTTTCCCTGATCGCAAATGGCAGGGACTTTACCCTTGCTCTCTCCGCTTTCACTGCGAGTGTTTGTTCACTCCACAATAAAAAGCGGTTCCACAGTATCTGTGTTTTGCTTCAAGTCAAAATGGTAAGTTATGCTTAAGTACGGCATTAACGTACAACATTGGCTTTTACGACTTTTTCGCTACAGCAGAACTAATTATTGCATGACCTACAAGACCCGAGAGTTTTGCTGCAATGAAATAAATAGTAAAGTTGCACATTCAAGTGGATTGTTTAGAGGATTATTACGTACAGGTCACTGGAACAGGAGAAATTTGGTCACACCAAAATTGTGCTAATAATTATATACCTACATATGTACAAAGAATATGACAAGGTGCACTGTAAAATATGCCCAAGCAAAATCAGTTTGGAGAAAGCTTTCTTCGCTTTACCCAACGATAAGAAGGCTTATACAACTTTTAGGCCGGGGCACGATAACCCTATTCACTCTCTTGAGTTGGATAATCTGACGAAATGCAATTATGATATGACACACTGGTTCGGCCTCAATTAGCGTTGAGGTAGAGGTTTGTACGTAAATTATTAATAGAAAAATGTACACATCCAAATACAGTAGCAGCATATTGGGTATTTTGATAAAGTTGTGTGAACTTGCAGTGATGATTGGCAGGTGTTTTAAATTGTTACGATTAAAACTTCCTAAATTACATGTTGACTTTTTACATTTTGACAATAAATAAATAAATGAATAGTCTTATCTAATTCTTCGTGTATTTATCATGTAAATTCAATGAATGTATTGTGATAATTGCGATTTTAATGTTATGTCTTCTTTACTAATTCATACTAGAGATAACATTATTTAGTTTGACATTTTATACAACCATATCCAGACTGGTACAAGACTGCAATATTAAGTATGCACTTCTCATTGAAATATATCCTTGAATTGTAATTTAGGAGCATCCAGTTCTTGAGAGTCTGCCTAGAATGTATTTGCCGGCAGCATTTTCCGTGACTCAAGGAAAACAAAATCCCAAGCTCTCGCCCGTCTTTAAATCTCATTAATCTTTGATTTCAATTGGGGATTTGTAAACCAACAAAGCGAATCTAGGTTGGGAAATGTATTCCCGTATTGCACGGCAAGTGTAACTTTTCACTCTGGGTTCACCTTTAGTTAAGACATTGCATGAAGAGTTGTAAAATGAAGACTGTCGGATGGGTTAGGTAAACTAAACAAGCGTGTGTAGCTTGTTTAGAGTAAAACGGACGCAAGAATAGAATAGGCCACACAAGCACTGAATTAACAAATGAAACTTATTCCCAGAGCATGGATTCCCTTGAGAATGAAACTTGTATGTACCATTTGTGAGTATGATTATCAATTCTTTGTTCCATGATCCCTCTTGTCTTAAGAAAATGGCCAGCAAGCAACAACGGGTTTTCAAGGAGCCTGCAACTGAATTGTTCTTTCAGAAAAAATATGAAGATAACCTGACAGCGAAAGCTCTACAAAAATGCCGTGATTTGAAGGGCGTGCTGTGATACCGACGGGGTTGTAGATTTGCCTGAATCTGGTCACTTATTTTTTCGGCAGTCTGCTAAGGACTTGCAGACCAGATTATCGCTTGTTGTCACTGATTTTGAAATCTAACGTTGAAAGTAGGTTGAGGAGGACGCAGTCAAAGCAGACGATAAAATGTGTGTGTTTTATTGACCAATAAATTGTCTGTTGTTGTGTATTTCAAGTCGCTTAGATTTCAAACCATTATTATATATTTAACTATAATAATGGCGATCCATGATATTGTCTTTTAAGCTTCACGTCAAACTCCTTGTGCAAGAAATAAAGTTTAGTGTTACTCGAACCAACACGTTATGACCCTAGAGGATCGCATTACATTATAAATAAGGAGAATGCATTTAGCCAAGAATGTCATTGATGGATGCGGTTATTAACAAGAGACTAAACATTTGCGAATGTAACATGATACCTTCTTGGAAAACATACCTAAATAAAACAAATCCTGTCACGCCAAAACATGAAATCTCTAATGTACGTGCTCATGTACGTTCACTAGGAATGGGAGGAAATTATTAATAGATTTTTTAGGGAAGGACGGATCATGAATGAGTCAACACAGATTGAAATGTGGTGGAACATGATGCCAAAGATGATCGTCTGACACATATATTTGACAGAAAATGAGGCAATATTTTGGAGCAGATTTTTATATATTTTTCTCACCATTCTGGGTCATTGTCAGTCATCTTGGAAGCGAATCTTGCACTTAACAAACACGCCGTGACTTTTGGTACAGATTTTGTGGGATAAAACACCCAATCAATGTAATTTGCTTTCTCCTGCACAGCCTGTCTTGTCTTTCTAAAATTTGGAGCAGTCACAAAGTCTTGCAGTCATTTTCCAAAGAGGTCGGAGAGATGAGAGATTTGTTAAAAACTGGAAATGAATTTGTCTCCACACTTTCAGAAGGATCAAGCTGGGAAAGGTGGATGGATGGATTGGGGTTGAGACTGGATTTTGTCAAGCCGAGATTTACCGTCAGCTTTACGACACCACAAACTTTTGACTCCACTTTCCAACCAAAGCACTCACTCTCCGTTTCCGTTTTCTTTCTTGAGCACAATTTTCCAGGTCAAATGAACTGTTGTCCCAGGCCCCGGCCAGGAGAAATATCCTCACTTTTGGGCAGTCTCATTTTTACGCGTCTCTGTCATACGTAGGATCAGATTTCATCTCATGACGTGTCCTTTGCGGGCCCAAATTCAGTATGTTTATGTATTGTAGAAATCGGTGAGGAAGGAAACCAAGCCGTAAAACGAGCCTGATGGTGACCATATCTGACTGAAAATATGAAAAGGCAGTATTACGCGAGATCATATGCTGCACTTTATGTCGAATAAAATGTGCACTATCCGTCGTATCTGGTGGCGACACACTTTTCCTATCGTGCCCCACGAAGCACAAAAATATGGAACAGCATACTCTCGCACGATGGTAAAACTTTTATACAATTAAATAATAACGTGCAATTTTTATGAATCCAGAGCACTTTTCTTTTTTACGCAATTAGGTGTTATCACAAATCGTTTCCTGGAATAAACTAATTTCACACATTGACATTAATTATCCTTTCCGTTATAGCAAAAACAATTCAATTTCTTGAAATATTTTGTGTGGGGGAATCTGGGGACTAAATAATTTAACCTTTATTCACTCATCTAACAATAAGTACATTTTTTATGGAAAATCAAATCGCTTGGGAAATGAAATGGAATCTATTATCGTACTTGTGAATAGTAAGAAATGTGCCAAAGGTTAACTACTTACCTAAATATTTGACGGAATATAATTTAAGTATAGGGTAGCTACAAAAGTTTTACTACATGTACTGGATCGGGGTGCTTGTTACAGATTTTGAAGTTACATTTCACATACTGAAATGAGTGGAAAGCAATAATCATGCATCCACTGACACCTCTTTGATCATTTGAAATGAGAGATTCGCTGAGGGGAGATCTGTACAAAGACTGACAACGAACATTCTCGACATAACCTGGTTTGCATTACCAATTAACTTACCAAACACCAATCTTCTCATTGCTCACTTCATTTCTGCTTTAATGATTTCCACATATCTCACTGTTATCTACTCACGTAACAATTTATTTGATACTTTGTTCCCAAAAAAACACATACAAAGTCAAAGTAAGTTAGAGTTACAAATAGCGGGATGGAATTAGCAAATTAATATGGGCCGATTTTGCAATATAACATGGAATGTGCTAGTGCTTTGCGCTTGTATGATGTAACTGTTCACTTTTTCCTCATGCTTCCGTCCACTCGAGGCACGTCTGTACTATGAACTGAAGTTTCTCCCATGAAATGCCGGGTAGTCTTCTTGGAGAAACGCTCCAATGCATTTCGCCAATTCCAATCCATTCCAATGAAACAAGAGCTCGGCGAAAGGCAGGAGTTCGCAGCAGAGGGGCAACTTGGGTGCTATTCTATTCTGAATACATGGCAGCCAGCGCTTGCGTTACTTCTTGCCACAACGTTTGTTGATGTCTTTCTGGTACATGATTTAACGATGGATGCCTGTTTTTCATTATTAACTGCATACTTGATGCGTAATACAACTTACTTATTGCACCGAAACCTTTACGGCGGTATAGTAGACCAAGGAAAGGTATGGAACATGATACAAGGCGGAAATATACCAGGAGAACGGTGTGTATGGGTTGTGAACATAAAATTTAACGCCAATTAGATATTCGCAGAGCATGGTGGGGCGCCTTACAATAATTTTTATGCTTTATTAGTGCGCATGTATTTATTCCTTATCTCTATTATTTATATACACAATCTTGTTACGAGTTGACACCTTTATTTTTATAAATGGAGGTAGAGTTTAGAATATCCGGGGTAGTAATTAGAACTTATTCGTGCAAAATACAATATCCAACTGGATTATAAAAATTCGGAATTCGTTATGTATTCAGTTGTGAGGGTTTACCTTAAAGAAAAACGACAAGTATAAAGTTTCATGTTTGAGTCGGGAAAAGTTGACTAGAAATTATAAACAACCCAATATGCTTAAGCTACTCCGACCGAATACTAGACGTGTGTATTGACAAAGCTACTTAAAAATTAGAGAAATGACAGGTGGGCGATAAAAACATTGATTATTCCACAAAATGCTTAGCCGAGCAAACAACAAATGTCTTTCACTACTTTCATTTCAATTCTCAAGCCATGCCATATTTAAATATGTATGTAGAACTCAACCAGAGTTTCTATCCCTTTTCTTACCAGCTTCTTCTTTAGTGAAAAGCAAACTATTTACTATGACGTCTGACTTTCGTTGAGACCAATTTTGTTTAAGGCGAGAAAGTTGGAGCATGGCAAATAATTACGCGGCCCACTTTTACACTTTATACATAAGTACGTACATACATTAGTTCATTTCTTTGACTTTGTAAACCCAACGATATTGCGAGTGATAATCGGATTACTTAGATTTTGCTCCAGTTTTGTTCATGAGTTCAAGTTATGTAAATATAAAAATTGTCACAAATGCGTAAACATACACAATGAATACTGTGCAGTAATAAATTTCAGCGACATTGCGTCCCATACGATCTCATTTGAACAGCAAAACTAATCCTAAGATGTATAATGTACCTCTTTGGTCACCAGCTGTCAACCATGTGACGGTTTATTTTACTAATTCAGTTGTAGCTAAATATACTTATTGCAGAATCTACCGTGTCTCGTTGTTCTAAAAGCTATCACCTATTACCTGTATAAATTAGTCTACTAGGCGAGTTTTAGTGAAGATATGCACAATTAAGTATTATGTAGGTAACAACGTATACATTAGTGTAACGGACAAATGGGGTGAATTGGTGATTTACATTTGGTGTAAATTTGTCCTTCTGTGTTTTTGTATTAATTAGAGTAGCACAACACGAACCTGCATATTCCTGAATAACTTGACGATTCAGTCTTCACAGCGTTTAACCTTAATTTATTTCTGCAATCAAACTTTCTACAGAATTGGTGTCTAGGGACTTATATCGCGTTATTTATGCCTTCGCGTTAGATTGATCAATAAATACTGCATGCATATACACAGTTAAGTATTTAATGTGTACATTATTCTAGAAAGGGCAAGGCAAAATGGTATGGTTAGTTTCAGGAAAAACTGTTTGGTATCAAAATAAATAAATCAGTAGATATGTAAATTATTTAATATGCAGTTATTTAATTAGTCATTAGAAATAAATAGATAGTCATTTATTTTACTGGTACAAATTATTTACATATGTATCATCCGGGTATTTTTATCCTAGCACTTTGACCATGAAAAATATAGAAATTTTTATGATAACAACCGATGCAGGAGCTATTTTTTACAAATGAATTTACATACTTCGACTCCACTCTGAGATTTTGTAATTTTAAAAAAAACATTGACATTTCAGCATCGGGAACTTTGAAAAAATAATTCTAAAAAGGGTGCACTTCAAATTTAAGGATTTCAGTGAGCCGGTAGCAAAGGAAAAATAGTTCTAGTTCAGTTTAACTGGCTGTCCTGCCTATTAAAAAGTTCTGCTTCAAGTCTCAGCTTGGCAAATACACTCGTGGATGCTTCGAATCAATATATTTTCGTCGAAATTATCATCTATAAATTTTCATGGAATATAAATATTTATAGGGATTCGTTCCCATCTGAGCAATAATAAACCTTACCTTTCACAACAAGCGATGTACATTATTGTTGTTCAATTCACCTGTCCACCGTCAATTCTACGGAAAAATGCGGCCATTGAAATCACAATTTTAACAGTTTGTACAATAATGTCGCACACGTTTTGGGACAATCGAGAAATATGTCGACAATAATTCATGTTTTTGATTGGAGGACACCGTATGATGCGCCTCACGTCGTTCTTTATAAAATGTACAGCTCAGCAACTGGACTAATCGCAAGCGTACATTTGTATGAAAGGATGTCAGCAAATTATAATACAAAACATACGCACAACACGGTGAAAGCCGAGAGAGTTGCATTATGCTAGAGACCACACAATGTATTTCTAGCTTGAACGGTTTTATAATGCTCCCGTGAAAATGGTGACATATGTCGACGGTTACATACATACGATATTTATTTGTATGTAGATATTCTTGAATGCGATTTATCAGGTTATATGGGTTCGCAGAATGTATTCGCTTTCACCACTGGTCCTGCCAACTTTATATTTCATATAAATTGAAAATTATGAAAATAGATTTCTACATACTTTATGTATACATAGTTCGTTGCTCATGTATCTCAAGTAACACGTACACATGTACAATTGATCGAAAGTAAGTTGAATCCGTTTCTTGGTCATGAAAGGATTATGCTAGAGTGCTGTTAATTGGTTTAAAACTTTCTGCAATCCAGAAGAGTAATCCAGAAGTATTGATTAAACTTCTGTAATTATCTGTATACACTACTAAAAACATAACAAAGATCTCAACTTCAAAAATTTCAGAATAGATTGATAACAGGGAAATTTACGAAAATGCTCCAAATATTTAAATCGCTGACAGTACAATAAATTAAAAAATCAATTGTGTTGATGTTTACGCCCATAAACACATTTTTCAATCAAGTCTTCAAGGAAAGAATCCGCAAATGCATGTGTGTGGAGCTAAACTTGTTAGTGAGAAGACATGCACAAGGCGTACACGGCTTTATGAATATAAATGCGAATTGCTTCCAAAGTTGACATCTAATTTCAACTACGGGACAAACAGTCAAAAGATTGAGCTACGTAGGAAAATAATGTGTAAAAAATGGGTTTTGTATAGCTTTCTTTTATATCTTCAACTTTAATACTTTTATAACCACCAAAGTCGTCTTTCTACTCAATCCCAAAATTTATTGCCACGGACGAGCCCACGCTCACGCAATAGCGTAATTTTGCTGATTGAATGGTAAAATGGTTGAGAATGATACACTTCCCGACGTTCATGGCAAATGCAATAAGCAGTGAAACTATTCCTATTTCCATATATTACTATGAATCAGAATACCAGGAACGGAGAGGCAAATGTGGAAGATCGATATGTTCCCCATATCTTTACAAGAGATACACCCTAATTTTAATAAATGCCTTATTTTTCCCTTTAAAAATACCTAAACTAGGATGCGGAAAAGTGGGTTGCTATATATGTGCATGTAGGTATTGCAATACAGACGACATTATGCCATGAACTGCATGCAAGGAATGTCAATTAAACTCGTACATACATACTTTTACTTCGCATCCAGTAACGAAAGTCATTTTTACATTGTCTCTACAAGAATTATACGCAACTAATATGCAAATAAATACATGCTACGATTAAATGACTGATTAACTAGACGATTTATACATAAATAAATAATAAGTGCGGAATTTTTTAACAGTATTTTTGTGTAGATATTTTCGAAAGCGTAGTTCAAATGCGCAAAATCAATATACACCAAATGATAATTACAATAAGACATTGATTAATACCATTTTTCACGCTTTAATGCGCATCAAATAGAGTGATTAAAATATCCATACTAAAAATAAAATCTGTTTTTTGAGAACCGAGTGAGACATTTTTACTGGAATTCGATATCAACTTGTGATAAATGCTTCGGGTGCTCCGTTCCATTTCTTTCCACAGTCAATCCGTGTACAAAAGCGACTGAACCCGCTTGGATTCCTTCTGCTAATCTTAAAAACACCCATGAGAAACATTATGGTTGATAAATACTCTATTAGCTCATAAAACTACCGACCTAATGACGAAGGAATGCCTATATCCGTAGTAATTTGCAGCTAGATAAAAAATGAATGCTCCATTCAAAATTCTCCAAACGATGTAAATATAAAAATATGGTTTTAGCGGATAGTTTACCAGATGTGACCAAGTCTGCAATTGAGTTGTTCAGTTCAGAAGCTATTTGTTGTCGTGTATGCAAAAGCTTGAATGCTGTCTGCATCAGTCGTCTTTCACACTTAATGCGAATTTCACGTGAATTTCTCGTAAATCAAACTGCTTTCTCGATTGGAACGGGATCAGTACGGTTGTTGTCAAAAATTGAACGGACCAAAATAAAAAGTCGAGAACGTCCATGGTAAATTCCAAGCATTTTTGGCACACTGTGAATGCCCTTATCTTTAATAACTATATATATTCATTACGATTGAGGCCGTAATGCGCAATCATGCATGAAGTTGTGGCAATGAGATAACACACGTAGGTGAAGGAAATAAAGTCCCAGGAGGCATTCTTATCGCATGCTTATTGATATCATTAAGCAAGCGCAGGTTGTTCAATTATCATAATTTCAACGCTATCAAAACTACAGACAGCAATTCTCAAGTTTTCTCTTCCTGGACG